CACACCAACCTGTCCCCCCGAAGCACATATCAAGAGGATAACATCAGCGGCATATGCCAGGCTGGCCAACATACGAACGGCATTCAGAAACTTGTTTAAAGAATCATTCAGAACTTTGTATACCACATATGTCAGGCCAATCCTGGAATATGCAGCCCCAGCATGGAGTCCATATCTAGTCAAGGATAAGACTAAACTGGAAAAGGTTCAAAGGTTTGCCACCAGACTAGTACCCGAGCTGAGAGGTATGAGCTACGAGGAGAGACTACGGGAATTAAACCTCACGTCGCTTGAAGACAGAAGAGTTAGGGAGGATATGATCACCACGTACGAGATTCTCAGAGGAATTGATAGGGTAGATAAAGACAGTCTATTTAACACAAAGGGCACACGCACTAGGGGACACAGGTGGAAACTGAGTGCCCAAATGAGCCACAGAGATATTTGAAAGAACTTTTTTAGTGTCAGAGTGGTTGACAAATGGAATGCATTAGGCAGTGATGTGGTGGAGGCTGACTCCATACACAGTTTCAAGTGTAGATATGATAGAGCCCAATAGGCTCAGGAACCTGTACACCTGTTGATTGACAGTTGAGAGGCGGGACCAAAGAGCCAGAGCTCAACCCCCGCAAGCACTACTAGGTAAATACACACACACACGCCTCGTAGGTGAGTGGACAGCGCTCTGGGGTCGTAGTCCTAAGGCCCCGGGTTCGATTCCCGGCTGAGGAGGAAACAAATGGGCAAAGTTTTTCCACCCTGATGCACCTGTTCACCTAGCAGTAAATAGGTATCTGGGAGTTAGACAGCTGCTACGGGCTGCTTCCTGGGGATGCGAGTGTGCCTGTCTTAGAGAGATTAATATATGTAGTAGATATAACAGAGGAAAAATACATTGGTTAGAAAGGCGGGGTCCAAGAGCTAATAGCTCGATTCTGCAGATATTAAAGACACACACACTAGAATAAATGTTATATATCCGTGTTACGGCCATTTAGGGCCAGTAACCGGGTTCTTGCTGTTATGACCTATTTACATTAGTATGTCACATATGCACTTATTAAATAAGCCAATATTGACTGTAAGCAAGTGCGAGAACGGGTTGCTTACTATATACAACCCCAAGTCTGTAGTACGCTTTCAAGAACTGGCCGAGTCAAGCAGTAATGCATAAATGAGCGGGGTAGAATAAGCCATACACAATTCCCTTCAATATATTCACCTTCACCACTATTTATATTATATTACACTTATTATACGCACATACAAAGTGTCTTTCTCACAGGACACATAACATTTACACTGTTCATCAATTCGGGCGACTCCACTTGCCAGGTACGCGTCGTACACACCCATTGGCAAACACTGGCGAGTTCACCTTCCTCGTGGGCCAGTCCACAACACACACCGTATCTTCATACACTATGTGCCAATACCCAACTTCCGCTCTCCGGGTACACACACTGGCAGAGAGTTCAACAACACGCTGATGGGGGTGTTACGGACCCAAGTCCAGCGTCGGAGCACGGAGCGGTGACGACAACGCCATCTGTGAGTCCGCTCCCGAAACCCACTCCAAATGGACGACGCCATCTAGTGGTGACAGGATAGGCCAGCAATAAGTGTTTGATTCCTGTCTTAGTTGACTCGCGACATAGCCGCTGCTGACCTCTGGTGAGGTGGCGCTTGGACAGTGAACGCCATCTATGGAGCGAAGAGGTGGACGTTTCTGTCTAAGCTTGTAAGTGAGGTTCCCTAGAGCGTCCCAGTATTAATGACGTATCTGATTGCAGAGTCGACCTGGGACTGCTGTATTGGACGATGGACCAGTCTACCCAAGGCAGCCAAGGTCTCTTCACCAGTCTGCTTTGAGGAAGCTGTGAGTCACCCCCGGACGAACTCTGTTGAGAGTATTAGCCTGCCTGTGGCATGGCAGTGTTGGGAATCGCCTTATCCGGGGCTGGCTGGTGGAAGAGACTAGCCACTGTGGTGCTTAAGTGAGGAGAGCGATCAGCGGGATCACACGAGGCTCCTGCCTAGGGCTCGCAACCCTAGTATCGGTCGTGGAGTAGCCTACACAGCGGAGCTGATCGGTACCTGCCAGCTACAGGCTGGATTGTGGTTGAAGGCCTCCGCGACAAAGCACCCAGTGGGACTGTGATTTGGCTGGCCTGTGGCCAGGGTAGATTCGAGATAGTCATAGTGGATTCATCGTGGGCCACGGAAGAAGGAACCAGGGCTACCCAGAGTGAGCACTGTCGAGCATCCAGTGTCTTCGGAGGAAGACGAACCTGTACATAATTGTGTAGTTATAATCCCTGCGTGTGACTGGTATTTATTTATACATGGTGGTGGAGAAATATATATATATATAGATTGGAACTTTTGTATCCCTCCCCCTTTAATTTAACTTGCGTTACGGAACACACCCCTTGAAAGCCTCTACTAACTTGGGGCCGGATACCCAAACTCTAATACCATCAGAGAAGAACCCGGTTGTGTCCCAGTAGGGCTGTAACAGGGGGTCTCAAGCAATCATATACAGGGGTTGCTAACACCCTGGCAGAAGTCTCTAGTTTCTTGCTAGCAACACTTCGACAGATGCACCACTGTTATCGTATAACTCTTCCTGTCTAATCTGGGGTACGTCGGTTCAAATAACATTGCATACATCAGCAGCAAACACACTACTCTTGACTGACGGCAGCCACTGTTTCATTAGCAGTGACAAAGACTTAAATATCTAATGAAGATCTCGCCGACCTGACAAATTCAAAGACCTGAAAGTTGTAGCATTAAATATTATGATAGATATCGTGAGGAGACATTCACATATGGGACTAACAGAGCAAGAACTCGGCAATGTGATGTTATAGTGGCCAGAATACGCCTGGGATATAGACGTATCTGGCAGCTTTCTCAAAACCCAAATGTCGAGTACACAATGTGTCAACTTTGTGAAAGAGAAAACATGCACTCACTTGAATATTATATTGTAGAATGTCCCATATTGACTGACTTTCGCCCTCCTGGGCTAAGGTATGCTGAACTCTGTAACTACTATATGAGTACTGGAACACTTGATGATATATTGGACATGTACCCAAGATTGACCATGTGAAAGTTGAGTGAGACAAGCCCTTAGCGTCTGGTCTCCACCCTCTCACAGGTAAACAGACATTTTATTTTGTACAGATGGACAAATTTCTAGCACTAACAACCGTATTGGCACTCAAGGTGCCAGTTGGGGCTAGGCTCCTCCTCCTGCGTGGTGCCCGAGACTCCTCTACTGAGTGGTGTTGAAGGTATTGTTGGGTCTCTCTCTCTGCTGGGTAAATAACGAGTCTAATCCCTTGTTTACCTTGTGACTAATTATGTTTTTTTTTTACCTCACTTACCTCCTGGCTCCCTTCTTGCTCTACTTCCTCAGCCTCTACCCCCCCCCTATTCATTCCCCCGTCAACCTCTTCCCCTATTCTACCCCCCTGTCAATCACTACCCCCCCCCCCCATTAACCACAACCCTCCCCTTTAACTATTATTCTCCCTCCCCCCCCCTCTGTGGTAGGACAGTGGGGGGGGGGGGAATTGTCATTACTCCACTCCAGTTATTACTAACCATCCCCTTGACAACCAACCCCCGCCCCCCCCCCTTCACCACACCCTCTCCCACCTCCCTCTCCTCCCTTCCTCCCTCCTCTCCATCATCTCCTTTCACTTCACTTATTGATTGTCGATACAGTGATCAAATGGTTGAGTGAGATGACGAGATGACGACACTAACTGGAGGCTGGAGTCGTCTCCTTGTCCCCCCCCCCCCAACCCCTTCCTCCCCCCCCTTCCTTGGTGTGTCTCTCTCCCCCTCCCCCCCTCCATGGAGTCCCCTTCCCCCCTCCCCCCATACGGGTCTTTATGGCACCATGTAATGCCATTCTGCTCTTGAGGAACAATAGCGATCATTAAATGAAAGAAATAAGCCAAACTATTGACCATGGTGCTTAAGTCAAGATCTTCCGTGGCTTGGCACTATATGATTCTTCCCAGCTCTACAGCAGAGGGAGGGGGAGGGGAAGGGGGGGAAGTTACCTATCAGTACTTGCCTATACGTGACTACAGGGGGGCGTGAGGTGTAGCTCCCTGGCCCCCGTCTACTGGCCTGGTGTCGTGCCTGATGTGTGCAGCCTCCGGACTGGTGCCGTTTATTCCTCGGTCGGTTTGTGCTTTATGGTCACGTCACCATCACCACCCGTCGTCGTCACCACCACCATCACTCATCACTACCACACGTCTCAGCACCTCATCATCCATAGCCCCCTACCCTCCCTCCCCCCCCCCCCCCCTGAGAGGGTGCGCTCTTGACACCCGCCGCGGGCTAATAACGAGGGACGAAGAAGGACCGAGGACCCTAGAGCATTACAGGAAGACTTTAACACACGTCATGAATGGGCAGACAAGTGGCTGTTAGAGTTCAACCCCCAGCCACTTGCACTGGCCTATATTATATGATGCCCGCGGATCTCGCCGGGTCATCTTTGGTACAAGACGGAGGGTGTTGTGCCCTCAACGATTCACCGCTAGATATCACAGTCACTCCAAACACCCACCACTTACGGGGCTATTCATGCCCGTGCCATCTCTGGGGTGGCTTAATCTTCATCAATCAGTCACCCCGTACCTCGACCGCTCCTGTGCCAGGTAAGTCCACTACGGGCTCGCCATAGCCCGTGCTACTTGCCCCGCTCCTGTGCCAGGTAAGTCCACTACGGGCTCGCCATAGCCCGTGCTACTTGGAACTTGTTCCGAGTAGCTGAATCTATAACAACAACAACATCACCCTGAACGACCTGGCGGTCCGGTGGCTAGTTACTCCCGTGACGCCGTCTAGCTACGGCATCGCCGACCAATAGGAGGGCGGGACGAAGGTGACGTCACAGCCCGTCCTCCAAACAAAGATCCAAAAGTGATTCCATGCACCCGCCAAACCCCCTGTTTATGAATGAAAAGCGGTTTACACACGACTCACAACTGCTGACGTTCGAACATATCCGGAACAAGTGTTTCACTGACGAATTTTGTTCGAACCACAACGCTGTAAATGCTTCACCCACGTACTACAAATACAAATAATCGCCAACAGAACCTAAACACCTAACCTAACCTATCCTACGCCCATATATACACAATATGTTAATATATTATAATATTAATTTATACTTGAGAAAATTCCCGTTTTGAATGAACAGCATGTTAAAATTTATGAATGCGTCTGTGGGGTTGACCGCTGGATGGAATGAACTTGAGAACGAGGACGGGTTGAGATTGTAATGCGTCACCACAGCGAATTCCACTCTCGCCATTCCGCAAGCTTAATACACATAAATATCTGTAGTGCCGTACACAACATATCATACTATGCCCGAAACGCTCTGCCTTACTAGTGGCATTAGGCACTGTACTTATTCATGAATCCTCCACCATTCATGTATACGTATGTATGTACTCTTGCTTAAATAAATATTATCATTATCGTTTCCGGTCGCTGAGGACAATTAAGAAGCCTATATACACCACCCTTTTTTGAGATATATACAAGAGTTGTTACATTCTTGTAGAGCCACCAGTACGCGTAGCGTTTCGGGCAAGTCCCTGGAATACGATCCCCGCCGCGAAGAATCGTTGTTACAACCAAGTACACATTTTACTGTTGAGTTAAACAGAGGCTACAGTTAAGGATTGACGCCCAATAAATCCTTACCCGGCCAGGATACGAACCCGTGACAAAGCGCTCGCGGAACGCCAGGCGAGTGTCTTACCACTACACCACGGAATATCAATTGAAATTGAAATAAGTTTATTGAGGTAAAATCCACACAAAGGGATGAGGTAGCTCAAGCTATTCTCACCCCGTTCAGTACATCGTGTTAATACATACATATATACACATCACAAACAATAAACATATTACCGAACATTCTGAGAGATAAACATATACAATTCCTCCTTTACACAAGTAGTATGGTATCAGACGTACACAAATACTTTTATGACCTGATCAAAATATCAAAGTGCAGAGGTTTGCAACAAGATTATGGCAAGTATTGAGTGGCCTTAGATACACAAGACTGGTTAAGCTGGTCGGTGAAGTCTTGCTCGAAGCCGTAGAACAGAGAGGAAAAACAAAAGAGGATATTACTACATGCAAAGGGGCGCCTGACAGCTGAGTGGACAGCGCTTCGGATTCGTAGTCCTGAGGTTCCGGGTTCGATCCCCGGTGGAGGCGGAGACAAATGGGTAAAATGTTTCTTGCACCCTGATGCGCCTGTTACCTAGCAGTAAATAGGTACCTGGGAGTTAGACAACTGCTACGGGTTACTTCCTAGGGGTGGAGGCCTGGTCGAGGACCGGGTCGCGGGGACGCTAAGCCCCGAAATCATCTCAAGATAACCTCAAGAAGATACTTACTGGAATAGACGAGAGGACATAAGTGGAAGCTGAAAACTTAAACGAGCTGAACCAGTAGAAATGCACCAAAAGAAGTCGCGGAAGCCACCTCCACCTACAACTCTTTAACCCCCAGATACAACAATGAATTAAGTCGTCAGGAAAATCAGAATATAAACGCATCAGGTACAAGAAGAGCTGGATCTTCCTCACCCCTCCGGAGGTGATTCTCATGCACGCACTGTTAGGTAAGCACCAGCAGGTGTGGGCGTCAGTGGACTCGTGTCAGGGTATTGGCAGAAGAATCAATGTGGTGAGGTCAGGTCGCCTCTTGATTAGTAACTTGTGTGTTGTTGAAGAGGAAGGGCGCGCTCTCTCTCTCTACCTGCTCGAGAGGTAAGTGAAAGAGAGGGGGGGGGGAGAGGGGAGAATAGATTTGTGGGAAAATGGAGGGTGTTTAATCTGCTGAACAATAGTCTCCCCCCCCCCCCTGTAGCAGGCACAGCTCACTGTTCCACTAGTGTATCCATCCCCCCCTTTCCATCCCCCCCCCTTTCCATCCCCCCCCCCTTTCCATCCCCCCCCCCTTTCCATCCCCCCCCCTTTCCCGGAGCAGGCAGAGAACCCTCCCTCTTTCACAAGTGTATATCTTCCCCTCCTTTGTTTGTAATTTCTGTAATTTCATTTCATGTTCTGCAAGTCGTATTTACAAAAAAAATACCGGTTCCTGCTTCTGCTTGATCATCTTGTAGGGGGTCACCCAGTGACGGGTGATAAGTGTAGCTGATTCTTGTTAGCGTGTGACCAGCCGCCGGCTGCTTGCTTGCTGTTTACTGTTCATTTTACACCTCTTGGCCAGTTACCACCCGTCATACTGTTTCATGTTACAGAGGAGGCAGTAGCAGGGGGCCAGGTTGGGGCCCACGACTGGCGCCTCTTGGTCTGTCTTGCCTACACTGACGGCGACACCTCCGCCTGCCTCCCCAGGAAGCTCCTCCCAGCTCTCTCTCCCCACCAGAAGGTAAGTAAGTACTCCTACTTCCCCACCTCCGCTTGCCTCCTCAGGAGGAGGTATACCTGGAGCTTATACACTTACACTTACACTGGATACCTATACACTTAAAACCCATTATGTAATTAGTGGTTTTTATCCTCTCCCTATTTATGGTTAGGTTAAAGTTAGGTTTGGTTACGTTAATTCAGTGTATTATTCTCGGATATGTTAAATTCGAAAATTGAGTATCCCTTAGAGTTAGTTACAGAAAACGCTCCAGGCCGTTTCAAAGAAAACGAGGTAAGCATAGCCTATATTTTAAACCTTAGATTTAAAATACAATGAAGTTATACCTTGAGACTTTTCTCTGTTTAGGACAAAGGTTCATTTGCCAGTTTACAAGTAGATTATTATTGGGATCGTAATATGCTTTCAGACCTTCACAAATACCCATAATCCCGGTGTTTAACCAGGGCGGCTGACCGCTCAATGGAATCACTTTAGCCTGAGAACGGCCTGCAAGACTTTTCATCCCCTCCTCCTCTCCGCCAAAATGTAAACTCTACCCGCTATCCACCTGCCTCCCGGGGCTCTGGCCACTTTAGTACCGACAAAAACAACAGCTCAAGACACACATGGTGAAGTATACGTCAGTATACAACCTGCTATAAAGAGAACAGAGTAAACCCGAAGGATATCCACCATCTAAACTAATTTATGGTTGCATAGAAAACGTGGATATTTGAGCCGATACTCCTTAGTAATTTGTACCTTGGAGACCTTAGCGTACAGGACACATTCGAGAGGCCGCGTTGTGGACCAAGCGGTCAGGCAGGGGAGACTGTGTCAATTTATATTTTGCTAGTATTTATTTAGCAAGTTGGGTTCTGATAGTGATTTTGTTTTTCCTTTTATTCTGGTCGAGGGTGTTGTAGTCAAAATATTGACTACTCTTCACCCTCGTTAGAAGCTGAACTAACAACAAGGTCTTCTACGACAGAGGTTTTGCGCTATACCCTTCAGTACCTGACAGTGTGCACGGCTTAAACCTTTAGGAACTTGGGGGTACTATCGTGTTCGAAGATAAGGATGCCTTTCATACCCATAACGCCAGCACCTCTTACGGGCTCGCCATAGCCCGTGCTGCGTGGAAATTTTGTTTTGAGTAACTGGGGCCAGATTCACAAAGCAGTTACGCAAGTACTTACGAACTTGTACATCTTTTCTCAATCTTTGGCGGCTTTGTTTACAATTAATAAACAGTTACTGAGCTCCGAAGCACCAGGAGGCTGTTTATTACAATAATAACAGTTGATTGGGAAGTTTTCATGCTTGTAAACTGTTTAATAAATGTAACCAAAGCCGTCAAAGAGTGAGGAAAGATGTACACGTTCGTAAGTGCTTGCGTAACTGCTTCGTGAGTCTGGCCCTGAATCTTACAACAGCAGCAGCAGCAGCAGCCAGCACCGCTTGCCTCTCGTGCCGGGACACGAGTAATGCCTCGGCAATCTTATAGATAATGTACTTTACATCAAAGAAAACAACATTAAAAAACTGTGTAGGAAATTTGCAGCCTTCAAACACTGCAGCAAACAGAATCATGGGAAACTGACCAGACCACACACTACTTGTGGACATACATACCCAACTTTCCTCTTATGTCAGACCAATCCTGGAGTATGCAGCTCCAGCCTGGAGTCCATACCTAGTTAAACACAAGACAAAGTTAGAGAAGATTCAGCGGTATGCCACCAGGCTCGTCCCGGAACTGAGAGGATTGAGCTACGAGGAAAGGCTAAAGGAACTGAACCTCACATCCCTGGAAAAGAGAAGAGTAAGGGGAGACATGATAACCACCTACAAAATTCTCGGGAATTGACAGGGTGGACAAAGACAAACTCTTCAGCACGGGTGGGACACGAACAAGGGGACACAGGTGGAAACTTAGTACCCAGATGAGCCACAGAGACGTTAGAAAGAATTTTTTCAGTGTCAGAGTAGTTAATAAATGGAATGCACTAGGAAGTGATGTGGTGGAGGCTGACTCCATACACAGTTTCAAATGTAGATATGATAGAGCCCAGTAGGCTCAGAAATCTGTACACCAGTTGATTGACAGTTGAGAGGCGGGACCAAAGAGCCAGAGCTCAACCCCCCGCAAGCACAATTAGGTGAGTACTAGAAGGTGAAGGGACGACGACGTTTCGGTCGGTCCGTCCCTTCACCTTCTAGTGTGTGGTCTGGTCAACATACTTTAGCCACATTATTGTGACTCATCGTCTGCATCATGGGAAATTCTTCATTAAAACCCAACTTTCTTAATACTTAAACATATAAACCATAACGGGCACAATCCCTCGCGCCTGAGGCTTCACTGTGACCGTCTAACTACTCGTTTCCTTTCATTAGTGTTTGAATTAATTTCAAAACCTTTACAAGTCAGACTTTAAAAAAAAAACAAAAAGTCAACTCTTAACTTGGTGCTTTTCTACATAACAAATGGAATGAATGCTTGAAGCTTGCATCCACTCTACCTTCAACCATCTATCCTACTCTGATTATATCTAAGGAGGATAAAGTCTGTCTCTACATATTACTACAACAACGTTCACCAAAACAAGAGAGAACTGGACGAACTTGAGCTGGACGGTAGAGCGACCGTCTCGCGTCATGCAGGTCGGCGTTCAATCCCCGACCGTCCAAGTGGTTGGGGCACCATTCCTTCCCCTCGTCCCATCCCAAATCCTTATCCTGACCCCTTCCCAGTGCTATATAGTCGTAATGACTTGGTGCTTTCCCCCTGATAGTTCCCTTCCCTTCACGGTCTCGTTCCATATGTTTGTGTCACTGGGAGCTTCTGTGATCACTACGAGCGGTAGTGAGGGAGAATGAACACTTGGGTAGGATGGAGGAAGGTGCTGTGAAGGAGGGAGAGAGGGAGGGAAGAGATGTCACGTCAGCAGTGATGGGTCCATAATTGGGCTGCAGCCGAGCCATCAAACGCCTCCCTCTTGCTATCTTCATGATCGATGATTTATGAGGGGGGGAGGGGAGGGAGGATGAAGCAGATTGCTGAAACGTGATTCTGTTAAGCCTATGAAGATCCAGGTATACTGAGCGTCGCAGGGTAGGCAGTGTCACGAGCCTATAGCAGCCATCTGAGGGATATCTCGGCTCTTCTGAGACATCTTCAAGAGGAAACTAGATTGTTTCCTCCAAGGAGTGCCGGACCAACCGGGCTGTGGTGGGTATGTGGGCCTGCGGGCCGCTCCAAGCAACAGCCTGGTGGACCAAACTCTCACAAGTCGAGCCTGGCCTCGGGCCGGGCTTGGGGAGTAGAACAACTCCCAGAACCCCATCAACCAGGTAAGCTATACGTCGTCCCGTTTCCCCTTGTAACAGATCTCTTTACAATCTTATTTGGTTAGGAAACGATGTATTATGTGGTATAATATGTTTTAATTGTGAATGTGTTTTATATTAATGATAATAGCGACTCTGGAACCTTACCCGTCCTCATCACATGATGTTTCCAACCTGTCAAGGATGCGGGCGACACATGTTATCTGATTGGCTAGACTGTCAAGTATAAAATGTCAACAAATCGGGACATTGAAGACTCGTTTCCCGGGAGCGCTGGCATTGGTCGGGCGAGCTGGAGAACTCGCTGGCTTTAACACCACAAGAGTTTAATTTTGTTATTGTGCCCCGATGAGCGAGTTTATTGAACAGTCACTCGTCGTGTGAGTGAACACTCCGCCATAGCAGCATGCACGTGATAAATTAGCATGTACTCTAATTTACCCCAATATCTGTGTTCGCTCAGTAATTAGCGTTACCGCGTTCAGCAAGGGTGACGGTGTTGATCAGATTTCCAGGAAGGGATGAGAAAGAGGAGTCTAGTTAACCCTTAAGCTGCTACAGCCTTAATAAATATTTAACAGCCCGTTGGTAGCAGTCGAGAATCTTCCAGCATGCTGCTATGGCGGTATGTCCACTCACAGGATGAGTAGCGCTACCCAATACTGTCACTATGGCGGTATGTCCACTCACAGGATGAGTGGCGCTGCCCAATACTGTCACTATGGCGGTATGTCCACTCACAGGATGAGTGGCGCTGCCCAATAAACTCGCTCCTCGGGCAAAATTTTTAAAAATTAATCTTCCAGCATTGAGGAGCATCTCACACGAGCCTCTGCAGCAACACTTACACAAGACACAACACGGAGCACAAATTTGCACACGTGTTGAACACACCTCACTCACTCGAGACAGTACTACCTCACACTTCTGGAAGGTGGAACACCCTCGCAAGGACACTTCAAGCAACATTTCAACAGTCTGGAACACTGGACAAACGCCAGTGACCTTACTGTTACATACTCTCTCTCTCTCTCTCCTCTCTCTCTCTCTCTCTCTCTCTCTCTCTCTCTCTCTCTCTCTCTCTCTCTCTCTCTCTCTCTCTCTCTCTCTCTCTCTCTCTCTCTCTCTCTCTCTCTCTCTCTCTCTCTCTCTCTCTCTCTCTCTCTCTCTCTCTCTCTCTCTCTCTCTCTCTCTCTCTCTCTCTCTCTCTCTCTCTCTCTCTCTCTCTCTCTCTCTCTCTCTCTCTCTCTCTCTCTCTCTCTCTCTCTCTCTCTCTCTCTCTCTCTTCTCTCTCTCTCTCTCTCTCTCTCTCTCTCTCTCTCTCTCTCTCTCTCTCTCTCTCTCTCTCTCTCTCTCTCTCTCTCTCTCTCTCTCTCTCTCTCTCTCTCTCCTCTCTCTCTCTCTCTCTCTCTCTCTCTCTCTCTCTCTCTCTCTCTCTCTCTCTCTCTCTCTCTCTCTCTCTCTCTCTCTCTCTCTCTCTCTCTCTCTCTCTCTCTCTCTCTCATATGGAATGCATTAGGCAGTGATGTGGTGGAGGTTGACTCCATACACAGCTTCAAGTGTAGATGTGATAGAGCCCAGTAGGCTCAGGAACATTAGTTGATTGACAGTAGAGATACGGGACCAAAGAGCCAGAGCTCAACCCCCGCAAGCACAACTAGGTAAGTATACACACACACACACACACACACACACACACACACACACACACACTTGGGCCTCGTAGCCTGGTGGATAGCGCACAGGATTCGTAATTCTGTGGCGCGGGTTCGATTCCCGCACGAGGCAGAAACAAATGGGCAAAGTTTCTTTCACCCTAAGTGCCCCTGTTACCTAGCAGTAAATAGGTACCTGGGAGTCAGTCAGCTGTCACGGGCTGCTTCCTGGGGTGTGTGTGTGTGTGTGGTGTGGGGGAAAAAAAAATAGTAGTAGTTAGTAAACAGTTGATTGACAGTTGAGAGGCGGGCCCAAAGAGCAAAGCTCAACCCCCGCAAAACACAACTAGTAAACACAACAACTAGTAAACACACACACACATATATATATATATATATATATATATATATATATATATATATATATATATATATATATATATATATATATATATATATATATTCCCTTCCTCCTTTATATATATATATAATATGATAACGTTAATTGTCGTTTATGCATCATTTTAGGGGTAAAGGAAGGCGAGAGTGAGGAGAGGAGGCGTGGGTGATGGAGGAGGAGGAACGCGTTAATCAGTGGGTGTTCGTCAGCATCGATGACAACCGCTGTGGTTCAGATTAATATCGATGACATGGAGTTGGTAATGGTGGTGGAGGTATGGTGGTGATGGAGGTATGGTGGTGGTGGAGGTATGGTGGGGGTGGAGGTAGATCTGTGTTATGGAATGATGTAGTTCAGACCTGCGCCATGGCAGGTACTGGAACACCACCAGATTATAAGAAAAGAAGAGGAGACACCGAAAGCTGTACGCCATTGATCGATGTTTACACACTAAAAGTTTGTTGGTCCTGGACTGTGTTCAAGACCAAAGTACACGTACTGGCTGGTCAGTAAACTATTGCGTTAAGGCCTCGATAATCCTCCACGCAGTGGTTCACAGGTCTTATGCCCAACACCAAATTAATAAAAATGAACTAATCGTTTCCATTTTGGTGTTGTGTACTTGCCTATCCGTGTCTACGGAAATGTATGTATGTATGGGTGCCTCTGTTAGCGTGACCCAGCGAGCACCGAATGTTGTTTCCATACCTTTATCCCCACGAAGACCTCTGTTGTCCCCGTCCTGCAGGTGGGTCGTGTCCCAGGGCTGCGAGGAACGTTGTGGAGGCGGGAAGCCCTCTGCGAGCTTCTCCACGCCTCCCGCCTCGTCCCGCCCGTGCGCGGCCTCGTCCCCGTCTGCTACGCCCTTCCCGCCCACGCCGCTCACCTCACCGCCGCCGCCCACGCCCTCCCGGACACCGCCCAGTGGGTGGTGAAGGCCGCTCACTCCGGAAAGGGGGTCACCGTTATCGACAACCGGAAACTGCTCGAAGATCTCCGTGACAAAAGGTAAGGAGAGACGAACTGCGTGTTGAAGCTTGGATTTTGGAATTGTTGTGTGGTTCCAGGCAATGAAGCAAGACTGATGTAATATACCTGTAACACCAGGTGTAATGTACTGACTCTCCCATCCCCCAAATGTTCCAGGTTGGGGTCAGGGCAGGTGGTACAGGCCCACTGGGGTCCACCCTTGCAGGTGTTGGGTGCCTACGTCTCCGTCCGCCTCTACCTCCTGATCACCTCTCTCCAGCCCCTCCGCGCCCACGCCCACACCCACGGCGAGGTGGTCTTCCGCCACCCACCTGCCAGGGGCTACGCTAAGGTTGGTCGCTTTCCCTTCCCGCCTGTTTTTTCCCCTGCTTTATCCCCTTCCCCATTCTTTCCCCTCTCTCGTGCCCAAAGCCCGCTCCTAACTGGTGACCCCCGGCCGTTCTGTGTATATCTTGGCCTCTGTGTTATCTCTCGCAGTACCTTCACCTTCAGCCTCAATGTTATCTTGATCTACAGTCACATCCATCATCAGCATTATATATTTGTATAAGTTCGTACATATGTGTGTGTAGACACAATAGTCTTATCTTGAGGATAATCGTTAGCATCACCCCTATCATTATTGCAATCACCACCACCACAATCAACACGATAAGCACGATCACCATCACCAGCACCACCATAATCATTATCCTCGCCGTCATCACCATCCTTACCGCGCCGCCTGCCGCCCCAGATGCAGGGCCGCGTGTGGACCTGGACGGAACTGGTGTCATGGGTGGGCCGCACCTCTGGGGAGGAGGCCACGCGGGCCATGGTGGGCCACACCGAGCTGGTCCTGGCCACGCTGGCCCTGGCAGCTGATATCCTCCTGCCGCCCAAGCTCCACAACCTCAGGAGGGCATCACGGCGATACAGGTAGGGGGCGCTGACGGCTACCCTGCCGCGGGAACTTCGAAGTGGGGGTGAGGTTGTATATAGAGGTGGTGACGAGGAGGGGGAAACAGGCAGGTGGTTACTGAGGAGAGAGCGGTGAAGTGGGGTCCTGGGCATGCCGAAGGCTGTTCAGAGATGCTGAAGACAGACAAATAACCTGTAAATGTGTCCCCTCACACGTGCTAGTTTTATTCACTCCAACTTCAACGTTTTATGCAGACAGGAAGTCACAGGAGTTGGTAATGGGTCCAGAACGGACCCAGACCTTCATACTGCTTTATTTTCAGATGAGTGGGCTGGGTGGCTTCTACGATGTATGTGAACTATATTTCCTAGCTTACAAACTCCTGTGATATTCAGTGACAATTTCAGAGTTTTAACTACTTTTTGATATGAGAGAGAGCACCCACTTACAGCTTCTTTTGTAATGAAGTGTTCCTATGTGTACTCTGACTCACTTGTGTCCATTTCCATTATATTCCCTCGTTCTATTGTTCTTTTTTGAATATTGCTTCTGTCTGACGCTTGGTCAATTCCTTTTTTTTTAAATCTTGCATGTCTTCATCATGTCTGCTCTATTCCATCTTTCTTCCAGGGATCAGGTCTAGTTCCCTCTGTCTCTCTTCAGAGCTCCTCATCGAGCCTTGTTGCATATCTTTAGACTTTAGTAAATTTGTTTTCCATTAGATAGCGGGTTCCTGGCCGGATCAGCGTACTCAACCTTGGGGTATCCCATAGGTTGTATATAACATTAAGAAGTCCTCTTTGTCTAAGTTAGTGAAGGTGACGTTCTCATTCATTCTGTAGTTTTCAGTCTTCTCAGTCTGTTCGATCTTCATGAGTTTGCACCTGTTTTGTTAAAGTCCATAAGGCAGCACTCGGGGCTGCCTAACGGAGCTCTGGAAACTCCCAAAATTAGTTATTTTACAATATATTGTGATAGTCCTGTTCTGATCCTTATTAAATTATTATTAGTATTGTATTATTTATTAGATTAGCATCAACTAAAATCTACATGAATTAAACTATTTCCTCTGTTAGGTTGCTTACCTATATTAGAAACAGGACATGCCCAACTTTCTACCCCTGTGGCACCCCACTCATTACTTCTCTCAATTCTGATATCTCCCCTCTCGCTGTTACTCTCTGCTTCCCTTCCTAAAATATACTCTTCCATCCAACTTAGCACTCTTCCTGATACTCCAGCTTGCTTCTCTAGCATACATAGTCTCTTGTGAGGCACTCTTCCTGATACTCCAGCTTGCTTCTCTAGCATACATAGTCTCTTGTGAGGAACAGTACGTGTAAAAAGCTTTCCCACAACCCAGGTGCTCATCACTTTCTCTCTCTCTTTATTGTTATCTTGGCTCCGAACTCTAAATAAGTTAAGCAAGCAAACTTTTCCTTCTCTCAATCTGTTGATGTTTTGGATACAAAGTTGTCTTCCTCCTCTCTTCTATATTGACACCACAATAGTTGTTTTCCAAACCTTGTGTAACTGCTCCATTCTTGTTGAAAAGCTGGAAACTATGGAAGGGGGGTCTAGACAATGAACAAATTCACAAGGGCCGTGACGAGGATTCGAACCTACGTCCGAGAGCATCCCAGACGCTGGCTTAATCGACTGAGGTACGACATGATCAATGCTTGAACTGTCTTCTGTAGAATAAATGAGTCTGATCTTGTCTGGGTCTTTATCACCTGACCCTCGTCTGGTTGTTTCATTACCTTTTTCCGGTGTCATTTTTATTTCAGTTTTTTTTTTCTATTAGTTTCTTCCTTTAGAAATCACAAATCTGGGAGGAGGGGGGAAAGAATAGGCAGCTGTGGTTCCAATTAGCAAAGTTCCTGAAAACTTGTATTTTGAATTTGACACACCTTTTATTACAATACAATACAATACAATACAATTTTATTTAGGTAAGGTACATACATACAATAAATATTTACAAGGATTGTTTGACTTATAGGTAGAGCTAGTACATACAATGCCTAAAGCCACTATTACGCAAAGCGTTTCGGGCATCGTGTGTATTCGTGTGTATTCGTGTGTATTCAATATTCGTGTGCAGCCTAAGCGCCTTATCATTCACCTGCATTTTTCTTTTAATGTTCATTTGTATTAGTTTAGGGAGCCGGTCGGCCGAGCGGACAGCACGCTGGACTTGTGATCCTGTGGTCCCGGGTTCGATCCCGGGCGCCGGCGAGAAACAATGGGCAGAGTTTCTTTCATCCTATGCCCCTGTTACCTAGCTGTAAAATAGGTACCTGGGTGTTAGTCAGCTGTCACGGGCTGCTTCCTGAGGGGTGAAGGCCTGGTCGAGGACCGGGCCGCGGGGACACTAAAGCCCCGAAATCATCTCAAGATAACCTCAAGATAACCTCAAGATAACCTCAAGATAACCTCAAGATAACCTCAAGATAACCTCAAGATAACCTCAAGATAACCTCAAGATAAGGCCATCCTTTGTTTCAGATGCCGTCACTCGTTGCGGTTCTCTGCTCTACTCTCAATTCCTGTTTATTCATTCTTCTGAAATGTATTTGTGTTGTAGTTACAAATATAAGTTAATATGTAGTTACAAATATAGTTACAAATATATGTAGTTACAAATATAGTTACAATGTAGTTACTCGGGATCGTAGTTAACATCTGTTTTGTGCTGTCTAAAATTTCTTATTTGCTCCATTTTTTCTTTTTTTCCTCCAAGCATTGCCATCTAACCATGTGCATTGTTTTCTCTCTTGAGGCCTTTATCTCTTAAGGCCTTTATCTCTTGAGGCCTTTATCTCTTAAGGGCGTTATAAATCTTCATTCAGCTTATTGCCATTTATATAGTCCATTATTTCTTTTGTTCTTTCATAGTTCGAATTTGCATTGTATTCTTCCTTGATTCAAATTAAAAAATTCAAATGTTTATTCGGGTAAAAGTACATACATAGAATATGTATGTGTATGTATGTATTTATGTATCAATATTATTTACTTTATTCAGGTAAAAGTACATACTTAGAAGATGAGTTACAAACATAATTTTGGATTTATAGATAGAGCTAGTACATACAATACCTAAAGCCACTAATACGCACAGCGTTTTGGGCAAATATATTTACTTTTCAGCACTGTATAGTCAGTGTCAGGTGTAACTCAATACCAATGTTTTCACTGTCATGACAGGCCATGTCATGACAGTGAAAATGTCATGACAGTCTCTGTACCCATGTAGCCAATGTGAGGAGTGTTTCAATACCCATATTTGCCACTGTCGGATATGACTTGTTACCAATATTATCGCTGTCAGTTTTCTCGATACCCATGTTGCCACTGTGATGTCTCATTACCCCATGCTGTCACTGTCGGAGATGTATTGTATCCATATTGCCACTGTCGAGTGCATCTCGGTGCCCATCTTGCCACTGCCAGGTGCGAGGGTTGCTACCAGTTGCTCGGGATCGATCTTGTCTACAACTCCAGTTTCTACCCTGCCCTCCTGGGGGTCAGTGGCCAACCAGACCTCTCCTTCACGGAGTCCCATCTCGCTGCCCACAACCCCCACGCCCTCGGTAGGATCCAAGTGGCTGGAGATGTATTGACGCTTCTGACCAGGGAGGCTCAGGTGGTGCCACAGGTGAATGAGGCGCTAGTCGAGGCCTCTGATAACTTAGGTAAGTGACTAGATTCTTGTCAAATTCGTTAATAACCATATGTTCGACTATCATATGTTCTGGGATGCTCCCGGACGCAGGTTCGAATCCTCGCCACGGCCCTTGTGGATTTGTCCATCATATGTTCTGTTTTCCAAAGGCATAATTGTAAAAAGTCCATAAAAATTGGAAATAGTCCATATGATTCTTAATGGACGATGAATAACATGCAGAATTTACTCAATGTATTAGTGTAATGTGTAAGGGGGGGGGGGGGAGTCCATACTAAACTTAAAAACTCCCAAAATTTTCTATTGACATTTTGGTATTGTGTTGTGACAGGGGTGGTAGGAGTGGACTGCCTCATCTCCCACGAGCTCTGCCTCACCCAGCCAGACCTTCAGTACCTCCTTGACACAAGGAGAGAGAGTGGGGCCTTTACCAAACCCACAGAGAACGGGTTATTGGACAGGGACACTTCACTAGGCCTGCAGGAGCTCCAGGAAGGTGGAGGAACGGGGTGGCTATTTTACAACGATTCGTACACGGCGGGACAAGGCAAGATGGCACCTTCGAGAAATGCGAGGATAACTGACGATCAGTTTGTTCAAATGTCCGATACCAGACAGACAGCAAAGAAGAAAAAGAAGTCTGGGTTTACCATGATTTACCCGTCTCCTGTTGGCCGCTTTTATGATCAGGCAAATATTTCATCTACACTATATATTTGTTATTTATACACGTGTGTGTGTGTGTGTGTGTGTGTGTGTGTGTGTGTGTGTGTGTGTGTGTGTGTGTGTGTGTGTGTGTGTGTGTGTGTGTGTGTGTGTACTCGCCTAGTTGTGCGCGCGGGGGTTGAGCTTCGACTCTTTTGTCCCGCCTCTCAACTGTCAGTCAACCGGTGTACAGATTCCTGAGCCTACTGAGCTCTATCATATCTACATTTGAAACTGTGTATGGAGTTTGCCTCCACCACATCAAAGTCTAATGCATTCTATTCAATTCCGTGTGTGTGTGCGTGCGTGCGCACGCCTGGGTAGAGGTAACAGGAGTGTAGGCTTTTTATATAGGGTGAGGACAGCACAGCCAGAAACCATAAACAAAAATGGAAATATCCGGGAAGGGACAGGGATGATTGTTCAATAATAAGGTAGATTCCAGGGCCCTCATTAAGTGGAAACACAGGTTTTTCCTGCAAGAAAACGTTATGCAAGAGCAGCTGCTGGCTTGGGAAGAGGGGCCACGCAGTCTCCGTCCAGGTTTATATAACCTCGGCTCGTTGCGCGCGCAGCTTGGGGCGGTTAAAGTCAGCTTCCAGACATACGTTCTCTTCCACTCAGAAAACCCACCGTTTTTGGGAAAAACAGTGTTCTTATCCATGTAGTGAGATAAGGAATGACATAAGTTCAATTCAAATGTTTATTTAGGTACAAAGGGATAGAGTAGCTTAGGCTATTTCTACCCCCCCCCCCTACATACATACAAGGGGTGATACAGATATTAATGAATTTATAGATAGTGCTAGTGCATACAATGCGTAAGTGTATAAACCTATAGAATACAGATTGGATAAAACACGATATACCTAGAAAATACATGTACTGTGTATATAGTCTTGACACGGTTTCTATTCACCCTCCACACCCCCGGCCTCCAGGTGATCACAGACCTGTACCACGCTGTTTCCTTCAACACCAGCACAGCCTTCGCCACCGCTGCCTACCTCCTCACGTGAGTTTATTATATATTTTATGTTTATCTTAATTTAATCACCTTTTTTGTCCTAGATATGTTATTTGTTTTGTTTTTAACAATTTATTTTTATTTTTGACATGGTGTACCAGATACATTTTCCTTTTTTTTTTAGTGAATCATTATTATTATTCCACAAAGATGTCACAGTGGCCTGATATATCAATGATTTGATATATCAATCATATCTCTAAAGGCTACCATCTCTAGTGGCTTTGACAGAGACATGGAGCTGTGGCTTTTTAAAGGCCGCTACCCCTATTGTTCCTGAGGATTTTTCAACTAGATTTTGAACTTCATGTGATGGCATTTACGGCTTCAGCAGGTAGGCAGTTCCAGTGGTACATAACACAGATAAAAAAAAAAATCTTTTCTGCCCTACATTGTGGTTTGTTGAACTTACATTCCTGTTGCCCCTTATGTTTGATCTTTTAAAGAAGTGGTCTAGATTAATATCCTCAAACTTGGTCAGTATTTTGTCTCGAGATCAGCCGTGTAAATATTGCTAGTCTTATAGTCCTCAGTGATTCGATTCGGTATGAGAGTCAACTTACTTCTGGGATAATTTTTGTCCTGTGTTAAAATTTCTCCAAAGCAGATGTAATTTTAATGACAGGGTTGGACAATATGGTAATTAGATGTTTGATGTAATGCATCAGTGGTGGTTAATTCGTAGTACGACAGTGTCGCGCCAATATATAATGAGTGTAGATGATGCAACTTAATTCTGCTTAAGATAAAATCACTTGTGGATGAGAAGCGCCTAATCCCATAGTAACATATACATTTTAACTTGTTTCTTTGTTAACGTGTGACTCTAGGGAGAATCCTAGAGCTGCAGGGAGGGGCAGGAGGGGTAGACATAGCCTAAGCTACTCTATCCCTTTGAGATGTATTTTTTCTTGTCTCAATAAACATACTTGAACTTGACCCTAGGGAGAGCTGGCGGCATGTGACCCGGGATCTGCATAGTCTGGTGACATCACTGGAGGCCCACTACCGCTCGCTTCCTCCAGGCGTCACACCCATGCTTGCCAGGTAACCTTGTTCACGTGCGGTTTCACTGTATCTTAAGGTATTTAAGTTTCATTTATAAACAATTAAGAGTAGCTGATGGGATTTTATAAGGACCTGTTTATAAAGTCATTTGCCACGTTCCTTTTATTTGCTGCGGTTTATAAGCAAATGAATGATGTGTAGCCGACTTCCCAAGACTTGGAGGTGGCACGCTGCTTCCCTTCTATACCATACTATAATGTTCATCTTGATTATGTAAATCTTACATATTTATTATACATATTTATCATTCAAATTGTATTTTTAATAGGTGGTGATCTTTGGAAAACACCATCGTGAATCTGTTCAAAACTTTCAAGACATATGTGGTGATGCAAAGATGATTTGATTGTTATTGATAAATTTTAGAATAGTTTTTAAAATCATTGATGGGGAGAGGGGGGGTCCCTAAATGATACCTAATGAATAATGGTCAGGGCAAATAGGGCGACCTTCGAGAAGCCGCCAGCTTCCTGTCTTCATCGAGGCCACTAGAGTTAGTGGCCCTCGGGTAAAAGAATAAGCACAACTGCTTCAAAATTTCTGTACTTTTCCTAATGGAATAATTCCTGTAGATGGTACTCTTAAAAAGTTTTATAATACAGGCAATTGTTTCCCCTTTTTATTTCAAGTACTATAGTAATAGTAGGCATCCACCAGTCTCAGGAGACTGGAGTTGCGCTCGGGTTGTCGGTCTGGAATAGCCTCTCCAGGGCGCAAAGCCAGGATAGGTTGATACGGAGCTGTTACCCAAGCAGCAGGCGCCCCCCCCCTCTCCACGGCGCCGAAAGTCTCCAATGGAAAGGCAAAGGCCAATAAAATTGGTTCCAGCGCCGTCGTAGGAACTGTGAGTTCTGGAGTTGATCTCGAAGTTGGTGAAAGAAGGCTCAGAGACTCCAAACCTGGAGACCGCCGTGGTCGGGGCCAGAAAAGAACCACCCCATCAAGGACAAGAACTCCCCCAGCCTCCTGAAGCAGAGCCTGGCGGTCCGTCTAATTACCACAAGCTACACAAGCTTCAGAAAGCTTCCTGGCAATACGTTAGTAATGAATAAATATGATATATTTACTCATTATAATGTTGGTGCTGAATGTACAACACGAAAAAACATAATTTTAATCTGAAAAAGTATCTTTTTATAAAGAAATTAGACGAAAATAAAAAGCTGGTGACGCCAAATCAAGTCGACGATCCAAGCTTCGGTTAGGTTAGGTTTGGTTAAGTTAGGTTTACTTAAGTTAGGTTAGGCTAGGTTAGGTTAGGTTAGGTTAGGTTAGGTCAGCCTAACTTAACATATCATATTTATTCATTACTAACGTATTGCCAGGAAGCTTTCCGAAGCTTGTGTAGCTTGTGGTAGCTTGTGGTAATTAGACGGACCCGAGCCTGGGCCGCACGAGCCCCAGGAGGTGGACATTCCAGTCCTGCATCTACGGGTTCCAGACAGATTGCCCTCTTTCACCCGAGGCCGTCTCCTTCCAGACCAAACAGAAGGAAGAGTGATAATTATTAAACAACTATATTATCATAATAATTTCAAGTAGTAACTATCAATTAATGATATTTATATTTGAATGCGTGTCATTGAAACACTGTACCTTAATCAGTTTTTAAATTGCAAAGTCTTCATACCCGAATTTACCTGAGAGCCACTAACACCAGTGGCCTCAACAAGGGGACAGGAAGCATACTTGACGTATTTTGCTGTGATCTCGTCCCCTGATCATTATTTCAATCTTCAGATAAGAATTGCTTCAAAATTTGTGTAAGCTTTACTGTATAATATAAAAAATCATATTTTAAACTGTGATATTTTTCAGAGTCAGAATATAAATACCAGGCATCCTTCCTACCCAAATGAAGCTTTGGCCACCATGTTAACACATATCTAATAGGCATGCCTATCTTTTTCCCTTCCCCACAACTACAAATACCACCATCAAAGTACACAGCTGCCACTGTTATTACAACCCAAAATACCACTTTCATGACCACAACTATCACATTACCACCATTTCTACCCTGACTTGCACTATCACCTCTTCCATCACAAATTACCACCACCATTACCACTTCAAAACCAACACATGCTGCAGCTTCCAAAAAATACATATTAGGCATTAAAGTACCAACCTTAAATAAAACTTAAATACCAAACTTAACAATTAAAAAGTCATCAACCTTATATGCACCATCACGTAAGCAATATCTTAAGAGAGACCCGATTCATTAGCATCAGCCTTAACCTTGATGACCCATACCATACTCCTCAACATAGTAACATACTAATGACTATTAGTAGTACTGTAGTAGTAGTAGTAGTTTGGATCTAGTAGTAGAATCAATAGGAATTATAGTAGCAGTAGTTATAGCTAACACAATTTGTTACAAATCAAACCATGTTTACTTCCAGCCTGGACCTTAATGAAAATGAAGACATTGAGGAGAAGTGGCTGAAGCATCAGGAGCAGGGTCACAGCCGCTGTATGCAAGGTCAGAACCCACTCACTATTTTCCAAAACTTTTGTAGTGTGTGGAAGCGGCATAAATATTGAATAGCATCACACACTTTCCTTCTAAAGAACTTCATATTCCAGTCGTTATTACATTCACCATCCCGTCAGTTATTCTTAGTTCTACTACATACAAAAATTGTACAAGAAAAATAAAGTGCGTTCTCCATCAGGACTACTGTATCCGAGCATGGAGACTTCACCTTCAAAAGGACATAAATGCTTTGGAAAGGGTTCAGTGCACAGCAACAAAAATCATCTCAGAACAAAGTAAACTCTCATATCAGAAAAGGTTGAGGACCACAGAACTAACAATACAGTACTACTGTACAAACCAAACATGACAGAACTGATCTCGTAGACTATTTAATTATACTGAACCAATTGAAAGACTTTAATCCAGACCACTTTCTTAAAAGCCCCAATATAACACACAAGGATCAATAATTTCAAGCTCAAGCCATAATTTAGGACAGACAAGAGATGCTTTTTCACACACACAGGGGAAATGACCCCATGAAATTGTCTACTCACTGCCATATCTGTCTATTGAGCACTCTACATTAAAATCTAACTCGATAGAACCTTCATGAACAATAAAGGAACCTTTTACAAACCATCAGCCTTGTTCCCATGAAAGCCACTAGAGATGGTGGCCATCAGGTAAATTCAGGCACCTTATTTTATTTTAGGGGTGGCGAGGGAGGAAAAAAAAGGGGACAAAAATCACATCATATGACAGTAATCATGGCTGCCACAGTTAGCATGCTGTTGAGAATTCAAATTTGGATTGTCATGCAACACAAGAAGCAAGTATAGCATCAAAAGAAGTCATTAGCAATTTCTTGACCATTTCTCCAACTGTGTACAGATATTAGACAGCAATTCTGAAATTTACCAGAGTAGCATAGGCCCTCCTGGATATACCCTTGATGTGGTTTCAGGTGAGAGCTTACTATCTAGTATCATCCCTATAACCTTTTCCCTGACAAATTTTGATCAAGCTTTTCACATACCCGGTAATTTGTAACTCAAGTGTCACCTGTTCTTAATCCTTGCACTGCAGTATTAATTTAAATACCAGTACTGTATAGTATTTCAGGAATGGAAAAAATAGTAAAAGAATTTTAATTGCTATAGTGTCGGTCTAATGTTAAAAAGTTACCCATACGAATCAGAGTGCATGTGTGTGTACAGAATGTGTTTACACACTTATTACTGTAAATCTTTGTTTTGACACCTCTGAACATGCATTTTTTTTTCTAAATACAGTATCGATAGAGTAAGATTAAAAATCATTAATGTAAATGTTAATCATTTATCTAGATTACAGTTCAGGTACTTATAATTTGAAAGCACTTTCTATGATCAAACCATTTCTTCTCTATCTTCATTAACAGATCTGGCTACAGCACCATACCTCCAGCGAATCATTCTGGTGCCAGACATTGCTCTTGTGCCAACTTTCACCCCGCTTGTGACCACCTACTGGGCCCAAGTGGAGTATGAGGTAATCATGGTCCAAGTGACTGGAGTAGCCCTTCACTGCCAAGCTGAAGCAAGGCTAGACGATAAATTTGGTCCATCTACGTAAGTGATTTTTAAATAAAAGTTTTCATATCTATTGTTGTAATCTAATTATAATTTACTGGTAGCTTACTGTAATGTTTACCATTCTTGGAGACTGTCAGACTGTTAGGGTTACAGTATTTAAGTCTCCTAGTCAAGAGTAAAGCTATCCATACAGTTATTCATCCAGTACTGGTCATGCCCAAAGGGTGTTACCCTGACCATGTGATACACACAATCAACTGTCACACCACTGGTTTATTTTGCACGAGTCATTATCTGAGAAAATGATGTGTAGTGACTTTCCAATCATTAGGAGCCAATCGTGCTCAATTTCTCCTGTGCCTCAACCTTTCTCTACCTGGCACTTGTCACCCTGTTGCCAAGCCAGAACTTTTTCATATCCTCCTTTTAAATATAAACTTTGCCATACTTGGTTTGATAGTTTCAAGACCTTGCCCATATCTTCCCCGTTGATATCTCTTGCCCATTTGAAGACCATAATCATGTCGCCCCTCTCCCTCCAAGCTTCCTGTTGCCTCTCCTCGTATGGAAAGGTTAAAGGTACCATGATTAGTCAGGTCATTCTACTTTGGATTTATTTTCTCAAGTGAATCCATGTCCACTCTGTAATATGGTGACCAGAATTATGCAGTCCATGTTCAAGGACTTACCAAGGCCAAATACTATATGTACTACAGAGGTAATATTTGTGAATTTATTGCTGATCTCATTATAAACCCAAGCATTCTATTTTTGTGGCATAGATACATTTTAGCCTAGGTCTTGTAACTCGAAATCATAATACTGTACTGTAATACAATTATAAAATACAGGAATATAGTAATTATGTACCAAATGTGTGTACAGGTTGGTGAACCATACGCTCGGACTGGGTGAGAACCGGGTTGTATTGGCCGTGGTGGATATCGGCCACTCTGAACCCTGGACCCTCAACACGTACACACTGCATCTCACCCGGCGGCCCCCGCCCATACCCTCTCCTGACATCACCATGAACACTCACCAGATCTGTGCTCTCAAGCAGGTGTGAAATGGCTGCTGACCTAGTTGTGCCTATGAGAAACAAAATCTCACTCTTGGATTCCCATCTGATAGTTTCTAAACCTGGTGCATCTATACCTTTAATATTTTAGTAAAATATTCTTGGGGAGTTGTGGTGTGTGTAGAGAAAGTGTATTAGAGGTAGAGGAATAATTTGAACTTTACTTTTAGGGGGGGTAAGATTATTGGAATCCTACTCTCTAAATGAACATTAAAGCCATGACAATGGGCTGATACACACTAAAGTGTTGATAAACATACTCTCATAATGATAATATTGGGTGGCACTACTTACCTTTATGAATGCCATTATTGCACTGCCATAGTGGCAATATTGACAAGTGCCATATCTTGAGGGAACATGCTGTTGTAAGACAATACTGGTTATGTGCCACCATATGTGAATGAATTTCTATAAATACAATACTGTAGTTGGTTCACCACTAGTAATGTACTATCAACTTTTTTTTTTTTTAAGTGGTGGTGGTTTAGTCTTTGACCAAACCTTATGGTTGGTGGTGTGGTTAACCAGGCTGTTAGATTCAGTCTGGTTAACCAGACCACTAACCACAAGACCTGGTCAGAGCATCCAATTGAGGCAGCATTAATTTACAAGCCACATTCCATAAAATCAAGGCTTATCCGATACCAAATACTTTCAGCCACATAGTTCTGCTAAATCGAGGGTCCATTAGAAGCGAGTTCTAACTCCTCATGAAGACGACTTTATCTTAGCCTCTTTTTACAATCTTGGTCATCCGTCATCTTGCCTTTAAGCATGTATGCAAGTGCTTGAGCATATTTCCCAGTTCCTGACAGGAGATGGGTAAGAAACCAGAAACTAGGAAATAAGTACACCTAAGCATAGATCTATTTATGGGTGTCACCTGCAGGAGTGTGAGCTGAGGATTGCCCCTTCGGAACCATGTGGCCTCGGCATGGAGTCTTCCTTTAATTCCTGGAGAGACTTCCTCGCCCACAGCCAGTCTCTCCCTGCATGCCCACAAGGAAACATCCATGGTATGTTAATACAGTACTTACGTGCATCTATATATGTATATAAACAAGTACAGTATACATAGTTACAAATATCATGTACATAAATACAAATGTACATAGTAGTATATTCAAATATACATACCTGTACGGTACAGTACTATACTGTACAAACATAAACAAAAAAACTCGGCACCTTAGGAACAACATTGGTTATTTAAAACTTCTTTATACAAATGCCAGAAGAAAATTGACATTAGCACATATATTTTGAGAGAGAGAGAGAGAGAGAGAGAGAGAATCCAGATATCATTGAAATCAATGATTAATGAAAATGAGAGAATATAATGGTAGAGGAATTTCATCTCCCAGGCTGCCAAAAAGGCAAAACAACAAGAGAAGATTTAATTTCGTACATACGAGCACCCTGGTGGAAGCAGCAATGAGGAATTGTGCAACTAGGGATGCTAAGAATCTGTCTGGTGCAGGATTTGATAAAGATGCTAAGCATACCATAATTTCTAAACAGTGATTTATGTCGACACTAACAATGTACAGTACAAGATATTGGTTTTGTCAGAGGACACAAAGCAATGCCACAGAAAATTGTTGAAGTATGTGCTTTTATTTTGAGAGGTTTGAAGTATGAGCCAAAAGACTGTAAATCTAACCTCATATATAAAGGTAAAGGCTTTGACCGCGTACAAGATTTCCTTCTTATACAGCATGTGACAGATCCCTGAGGTAAGAGAGCTCTTGCTTTTGTGTTGCCAACAGAAAAGTGCATGGATGACCCAATCCAGGTAGAGAAGAAACTGAACCCTACTTGTGATCACTATATCCTGATATCAACATGGAAATCCAAAGAAACGTAAAGATGAAGATTACTGTAGCTTCAAGGAGGCTACAACAGAATGATTTAGGGAACTGCAAAATAACACATTGAGGGAGCTATTATGAGGTAAAAACATTGAAGCATCATGGTATAATGACACTAGTCATTACACAACTTGCACAAAAATATATACCAAAAAGGGTAGAAAAACAAAAAAAACAGATGAAAGAAAAAATCTGCTAAAATGTTATTTCAACCAAGTTGAAGTTCAGTAAAGGAGTATCAAACCAACAATAATCACCGATTATGTGCCATACAAAAGAACATTGAATGTAGCCACCCAGGAAATCAAATCGGCCAATAAACTATGAAAGAAAAGGTGCAATGCATCAAGAAAAGATATGAAGACTTTTTACACATAAATAAGCAGTAAAACCAAAACAGAAATTAGAGTAGGACCCTTGAATGACAAGACCAACCAAATAGAAACATATGCAAAAAAGGAGCAGACACTGTACAGTATTTTACTAACATTACACACAACTTTTACCATATTAACAGAATGACCTTCCAGTAAATTTGAAAAGAAAAACTTTGAATGCTGATCTTAAAATCGGAGCTGCTGTTAAAATTTGGTAACTAAACACAATGAATGATGAAGTGAACCTTAGCCTTGAGAAAAAAAGAAATTGGTCATCTAATTGCAAAATTGCCTTGCGAGCCCCCCTCACCCTGACTACTGAATCCAAGGATGGAAACTTCACCTACAAAAAGACGAATATCATTGGAAAACGTTTGGCAAAGTTATGTTGACTGTCCCACCACTAACCTAACTGTCGTATAGCTGGAAAAGCCGAGGGTTTCAGGATTAACACTGCAAACAAGATAACAGAACTTTCACTACTTCCGACTTTCCATACAAAGAAGGAATAATTTAAACAGGGAGATTGAAGAAATTGAGCAGAGACTGAAGCATTCATATCAGATTGAAGAAAGGCAACTAGAACAGGAAGCAATTCAAGAAATAAAGAAAAACTAAAATATTTTTTCTCGCATGCAAAATCAAAAGCAAAAACCACTGCCATTATTGGACCTATTCGTATGAGTGAAGGTTCATACACTTAGGATGACAAAGAAATTAGTGAAATCCTGAAAAAGCAGTATGAGGATATGTTTAGCACTCCAATAAACAGCTTGAAAGTGGAAGATACGGACAACTTCTTTATGCGTGATATCCAAACCCCTGTAAATATAGCCGATATCAACACGAGCGTGACGGATTTTGAATGAGAGATTGACAACATGCCCATGCACTCAGCCCTGGGTCCAGACTCATGGAATTAATATTTATAAAGAAATGCAAAGTGCCAGTAGCACAGGCACTCAGTACAGTATAGTGTGGAGGAAGAGCTTGGACACGGGGGAGATACCAGATGCGCTTATATCAGTAGACATTGCTCCCTCCCTTGTGTAGAGGGGCTAAGAATTATAGACCAGTTGCACTAATGTCCGACATAATAAAATTTGAGCGAGTGATCAGGAGTCAGGTCACCAGTTTCATGGAGACCAATGACCTCCACAACCCAGGCCAACATGGATTTGGAGGGGGAAGATCGTGCCTCCACAGATACTTGACCACTATGACAAAATCACTGAGACATTAGAAGAAAAACAGAATGCAGATGTGGGATACACAGAATTTGGAAAAGAATTCGATAAATATGACCATGGAGTGATAGCACACCAAATGAGGGCAAAGGGAATAACTGGTAAAGTAGGACGCTGAATACTCAATTTTCTGTCGAACAAAACACAGAGTAACAGTCAACCATATAAAATAAGAGTCCAAGCACATTTAAAAACTGTACCTCAGGGTACAGTCCTTGTACCACTGCTTTTCCTTATTCTCATATCAGATATAGACAAAAATACAAGTCACAGCTTAATATCATTTTTTTTACATAAAAAAATCAGCATGAAAATTGCCTCTGCTAAAGACATTGAAAACTACAAGCAGATATTAATAACGTTTTCAACTGGATAGCAGAAAATAACATGATTTTAACAGTGATAAATTCCAGGTACATGCTTACAGTAAAAATGAGGACCTTAAACATAATACAGGGTACAAAACACAATCAAATCTGCCCATAGTCGAAAGCAGCATGTAAAGGATTTGGGAATATTGATGTCTGACAACCTAATGTTTAGGGAGCATAACCAAGCAAATATTGCGTGAGCCGGAAAAATGGTAGGGTGGATTTAAATAACTTTCAAATCCAGGGACCCCATCACAATGGTTGTACTATTCAAATCACTTTTGCTGTCCCATCTTGAGTACTGCTCAGCACTCACTCTCCCTTTCTCAGCAGGAGAGCTGCTGAAATAGAGGGAGTACAGAGAACATATACGGCATACATAGACGCGATAAGGCACCTAAATTATTGGGATCGTCTCAAAGCTTTCCAAATGTACTCGCAAGAAAGGAGATGAGAGAGATATCAGATAATATACATGTGGAAAATACTGGAGGGCCAGGTACCAAATCTACACAGTAAAATACAGTAATAACATACTGGAGTGAACAATATGGAAGAAAATGCAGAATAGAACCAGTGAAGAGCAGGGGTGCCATAAGCACAATTGGAGAACACTATATGAATGGTTGTTCAACACTCTCCCAGCGAGTGTAAGAAATATTGCCGGAACAACGATTGACATCTTAAAGAGAAAACTAGATAGTTTTCTTCAAGAAGAACCAGACCAACTGGGCTGTGGTGCATATGTGGGCCTGCTTGCTGCTCCAAGCAACAGCCTTTTGAACCAAGCTCTCGCAAGTCAAGCCTGGCCTCGGGCTGGGCTTGGGCAAGAGAAGAACTCCCAGAACCTCATCAACCAGGTATCAAGCAGGAACTGTCATTGAAAAGTTTTATAATACAGAACAAAATTACAAGCAGTTATTCTAGATCACTTCTTTAAAAGGTTCAATTAACATGACTCGCACAAAATGTAACAGCTTCAAGCTCAACAAACCACAATGTAGGACAGACAGCAGGAGATACTTTTTCACGTCTACAGCAATAAACCCATGGCATAATTTAGCTAACAAAGCCGTAGAACAAAGACAGTGTAACATATCAAAATACACCTGGAAAATTTATTGGATAACTGGCAGAATTCCCTCAGCTCGTCAGACCATTAGAGATGATGGCATTTTAGTAATTAAGGTAAATGCGTACAAATTTACATAGAAATGTGCTATTATTATTATTATGTTTACATTTGTATGTTAAAAATATAATATATAATAATAATATATTTTTAACACTTTGATTATTACCATTATAATGTAATTAGTAATGCTACTGATGATGACTATCAGTACTAATGTGTAATCAATAACAAACATAATCCACATCTTGTGCAGCTGAGCACACTAAAGCTATACCACTTGTTTAATCTTTTACAATATGTGTACATCTAAAGTCAATCATACAAAATTATAACCACAGATAATATAGCAAAATAATTTTGTATTAATCAGTGAACGGAATATATTTTTAAGAGAAATGCAGGACATGATCCTAGGTTTAGTGTACATCAAACAGGAGTGATGATCGAATGGATTTCTCCTCGTCAGGTCGGTGGATGGTACCATGCGAGTCGTGCGAGCGTCGGGCCTCTTGCGACTGGTCCCGGACGCTATGGCAGCCCTTCACCTGCACCCACCCTACTCTCTCCTTGCACCGTCTCCGCCACTGTCTGCACGGCAAGACGGTACAGGCAATCCTATTTTATGGTTTTAGTGGGATCAAGTCATTTCCTTGTGGTTTAACCCTTTTTGTTGCACTAGGGGTTACATTTCTACACCTGCTAAGGGTAAAAATAAAACCTAGAAAACAAAAACTTTAAATTCACTTTATTATAAAAAGTATCTAAAAAAAGTAAAATAAGAGGTCAAAGGACAATTCCCTGGGTTGTTCAGCTTGTGATTGTGCCTCGCTCAGTCTTCAACCTATCTACCTTTGTTCTGTTTTGTATCGGTTAACTATTTAACTGTATCAGTTAATGCTCTAATACAAAAGTTTGTCTTGGCTTTAGCAATCCACTATCTTATTTTTTTTTTTACTATGAATGTCTATATTTGAAAATTAATAAAGTTTTGCAAGACAAACCCCTTTTAGTGAACAGATTATTAATTTACGTTATCTTGTTATCACATTTAAAAGCAGAGTAACAATGTATTCACTCAGCCTCAAAACTGCACAAATGCTTGAGTGCCAGCAGTGTGACATCTTTAATAAAAAGGTCTGGCAGTTTTGGGCCAGCTTTTATACCCCCACTGAATAAATCTTCATTCTGTTCTGTACAAATTTGAAAGCTTTTTGACATGATAAACAGTTCAATATTAGGCTTTGCTTGCTTCATGCACTGTATCTGTCAAAATAGCTTCATTATTTACCAATCTACAGTAATACATTTTTAATTCAGCATTTCATGTTTCACATATTAAAGACGGCTTCCCCTCCTACTTTCCTGATGATTCTGTCACTACAGAGTTACTTATAATAGTTCTCTGATATATTACTAACCGTTAAATCCATAGCATCTACATTTATCCATGTTTAGTAATCACAATAAACCTAAATCTTCATGTGGGCTATATACAGTTGTCTGTACCATATGTCCTACTGGAAGTTCAGATGGATTTCCCTAGACAGCTATACATTGCCAATTCCTCTTCTAGGTATAATGCCACATACGACTACAGTTTGCCACACTCTTAAAAGTTCACTAATCATAACTACACAATCTGTCACTCTTATGTGGCTTGTAATTCAAACATTTACCCCACCAGTCTGTCATATGGAAAAAATAAAAATTAATATACTGCAGTGTGGAGATCCTCATCGGTATAAAGCTTATACCTACCTTGAGGTGCTTCTTCCTACCTACTTTACTCATCAATCTTGTGCATTTTCTGCTGTCATATGTAACATGTGGCTTGTGATGTGGGTGGCACAGCTGGTGTTTCTGGGAGACAGCACGAATAGAGGGATGCTGTATGCTCTGCTGGAGCGTCTCAATGGCACCCTCACCACCTGGGACAAGACTCATGATTTGAGGGTCATCCGAGGCGCCAACCAGGGACACACCACCTTCGCCTTTGCGTATTATCCAAAGTTCTGGCTCCCTTCCAACCAGAGGCCCGTCTTCGACCAAACCCTCTACCAGCTCCTGCTGAGGTAGTAGGTAGTGGGGGTAGCTACAAGGTGTACAAGTTACGAGAACTACTAGCTTCATATTCATATAACTTTAAATGCTCACTTAAAATATTAAACGTTAAAAAATTTGGCTACAATTTGTGCGATTGTTATTGCAACTTAACGGTAGTCATACATTGTCTTCAACATGTGCTCTAGAAGTTCAATATTGAATTACTGTATAGTTTCTGAGAAGTGCATTTTGATTTCCTACTTAGTTTTTATCATTTAATTCCCTATTAAGGATCAGAGATTAAATGTTATAACTTGTGTACCAACACTGTAGTATTGTTAATAGTTTTTTTAACCAATTAGTTAAGGTACTGTAATTGGTGATGGTTTTAAATTATTGTAACAATATTTGTATATTTGTTATATTTTGTCACTAGAATATATATTGTTTAAAAACTCGTCTTCTTCCCTGGATAATAATTCTAACACTCCCTCTCCCCAGCAATGATATACCATACCATTAGATCAACGGGTAAGTCCATAAAGGAGGATACAAGAACATAAGAACATTACTTGGGTCTATATAAGTGACTATGAGGAAATGGGGTGGTCAGGTGGGTTTATGTAGAGGAATATGACAGATTGGTCCAAGTTGGGAAGTATAATAATAATGTCAAGTGGATTCATGTATGAAGGAGAGGAGGGAGGGAATATGCAGCGTAATCATGAAAAGATTGATTCACTGCCACTGAAAAGAAGAGGTGACTAGTGTAATGAGGTTGTTAGGTTGGTCCATGTAGGGGACTATGAGAGTAAGGGTCTCTAAATAGACTGATAAAAAAAAAGCTGATACAAAACCTTGGTTATACTGTGGCAGGGCTGGACCACTACACAACAGTTCTGACACCGTGGTGGTGATAGGAGGAGTCCACTGGGTCGCTGCTCAACATTTACATATGGTCTCCTCGGCTCTCCGCAGGTACGTTCGCGCCCCCACACTTTGCCTCCCTCTTTTAGTTTGTCTGAAATTCATTATATCTCATGACACTGGAGAAATGCAAAACAAGGGGATATGATCATGGTATATAAAATATACAGCTATCAACAGGGTGAACAAGGAAAACTGATAGAAAACTGAAACAAAACTATGTTGATCCCAAGCAACATAGATGGAAATTGAACACCTGATTACAGTGTTTAGGCATTGAAGAAGAGAACAATCAGGCATAATGGAGATTGATTCATATGTGGATTCAAATGTAGGTATGAGAGATCATATATGCCAGTTAATTAATTGGTGTAACCAGAAAGTAATTACACCACTTGAGGAAATCAGGGTGGACAACAGACCAACAGTCAACAGGTGCACATACTGCATGGACAAAATAGCATAAGCAGACACACAATTCTGGTAAATATAAGGACAGTTGTAAGTAAACCAGAAGAATCATTGTAAATTGCAGTACATTCCATATGCAAAACCAGTACAGTACTATACTATACTATAGTATACAATACCAATATGGAAACCTACATCTTACCAAGCCCAAAAGAAGAACAAACATCCAGAGGTTCTCCACAAGGATAGTGCGGGGGCTTGAGAGTCGAGATATGAGGACAGACTAAGAGAACTAGACCTCGGTGCAGAAGAGAGCAAGATAACCCAAGACATAACAGCAGACATGAGGACTGAGTGAGCCATATGTTGAAATTGTAAAATTATATTATCCAGATTGACAAATTACATAATTGACTGGCCCTGGAATTATAAACACTTGAAATCAATAATAAAATGTAATAGATTAAAAAGAATGGTTAAAGCACAAAAAGCAAAAGGTCATCCTAAATGGGAAAACCACACACACACAAAAATTGTGAATGCAGTATCATAAGTTTGCATTTTATAGCCAACATTTTTTGTAATATACACCAATGCAAAGATGTCATCATCATGGATAAACAATCAAATCTGCAGATGATGCAAAGAACTACCATACGGGTATGTTAGAAGAAAAAATATTGAAGCCACTGCATCGTGGTGCACCTGACAAAAGGCAGTTAACAAATCAAATGGCAAAATTGCACAGTATCCTATAATCACAAATAGCGACTGGAAGAATGTATGGGTTAACAGTACAACCTACTAGCAGATGAACAAGAAATGAACCTCCTGAGTAGTGGTTCTACCAATCATTTAAAGCTGCTCAGCAAGTAGGCTGCAATTATAAAAGAAGAATCAAATACTAGGAAAAATAAAATGCACTTTCAACTAAGAAAAGGAAAGTGGTCATCCAACTGTACAAATCTTGTGTATTCTCCACCTAGATTATTGTATTGAAACATAGAGACCTCGCCTACAAGACATCATGTAACTCCAAGAGTGTTAAATGCAGAGCTACAAAAATCACGTATCTGGAAGGGCTCAGTCGTAAAACTAACAACTCTGCAGATGAGGCCCAACATGGCTGAAACCTTTACAAACACAAATCCAGACCATTTCCTTAAAAGGTCCAATATGCCACTGGCATATGAAATAAATGGAAAGATGGTAGAATGGATAGAACAATGATTGAAAGTTGACCAAACCACACACTTGACGATGAAAAGACATTCACATTTCGGTCCGTCTTGGACCATTATCAAGTCGATCATAAAATAGATCGACTGAAACACTAAAATGATTGAAACAAAGAAAGCAGAGTAGAGACATGCAAAGTTTCATTTAGGTCCAACCATTTTTTTAAGTTATAATTTTTATTTTTACAAAAATAATTTTTACTAATTTCAAAAACTTAATGTAAAGATAGTCAATTCTTAGTCTCTCTTAAACTGGATGTGAAAAATAGTTGATCTCATTAGAGGTCATTCCAGTTTATGACTCCTTGATTTGCAGAGCATTTCTACTTTGGTTAAGTCACTCTTCGAGTATCAAAAAGATATTTCTTGTGTAGTGCCCATGGGTTCTGATACATTCCTCCAGGAAGTGATCAAAGTCAGGATTAACACTGCAGTGCAGTTTCATAGATTAGAGCACACTTGAGAGAATGGACAGCGACTTGATATTTATCATATTCAAATATTTCGGTAAGGGCGCTGAAGTTCGTTATTGTTCTAATTACTGATTATGTTGAGTAATACTCTTACTGCTCCATGGTCTCCGATGGATAGTTACAGGGCAAAATAAAGTTCTTGGGTCATGGATTTCAGTCCCTGGTCGCCTACTACAGCACCTTCCAACTTGCTAATACATGTACTGTAATAATAATAGAGAGTAATCACACTAACGTGATGTGTCAATGAGACAATCTGGAGCCACGATGAGGGTTCAAACCTATGCAGTGGGTGTTCCCACACACGTCCTAGTCAACTAGACCAAGTTGTGGCATAGTTGACTAGGGCGTATGGATGGGAACACCCACCGCATAGGTTCGAACTCTCATCACAGCTCCTACGGATTTTCTCATTATTATTACTGAGAAAATCTGTAGGAGCTGTGATGAGCATAGGAGCTGTAGGAGCACTACACTACACTAATGAGGATTCGAACCTATGTGGTGGGTGTTCCCATCCACACACCCTAGTCAACTAGGCCACATGGTTTAGTTGACTAGGACATATGCTCTGGGTGTTCCTGCACATGTCCTAGTCAACTAGACCATGTTGTGGCCTAGTTGACTAAGGCGTGTGAATGGGAACACCCACTGCACAGGTGCGAACCCTCATCACGGCTCCTACAGATTTTCTCACTGACACATCACGTTAGTGTGATTACTAATTATTATTATTATATGTTGCTCCACATGAGCATGTGTTCCCTTATTCCATGTTTAATTTTTTTTTTGTGTACTTTCCTAACTAAGTTACAGAACCAAGCTTCAGCTTCAGCTTCTGGCGATCTTGTTCACTTGTCAGTCATCCAACTTATTAGACTTTGAACCCTTTCATTAAATGAATTATATCTACATTATTCTTGAAACTGTGTTAAGGGTTCCATCAAGTAGTTATATAACTAGTTTTAGTATCAAGTGTCAGCAGAAAGTAATTCAGCTGGCTGAGTAACTTAGTGGTAAGTTATCAATTGATCTAATAAGTCAGTCACCTGGCCATGTTTTAAACTACGAGTTCAATACTGTATTCTCAAAGCATTGACCAAATCCAGCAGCTGCTCCTTGTTCATGAATGAAGAAATCTTTACACATGGCAACCAGTTACATTCAGATTAGTCTTGAAAAAAAAATGTCCTTTGCTCACTTAAGATCAATTGCATCATCATACTGTAATTGGAAATAGTTTTGTCAGGGGACAGGCAGCCTTATAAACATCTTAGGAGTCGGCTACGGCTTGGACAAACATATCCAAAGGAAAGGTTGGCAAGTGCATGATATCCTGCCAATATGATCGGCTATTGTGTCAGCAAGTCTTTGCGAGACACGGGCATGGATCAGCAAGTCTTTGCAAGACACGGGCACGGATCACCGACTCTTTGCGAGACATGGGCATGGACCAGTCACTAATGATTGTGTTTGTCTGGCCTACAGGGAAGGTCTGGAAGGCGCCAAAGTCATTCTCAAGACACTAGGAGCTGGTTTCCACGTTGCTGCACCAGGAGTCCACACTGTGTCCCTGGTGAGTAAGCTTGTTCATGCCATGTCACTGGTGAGTAAAAGCATCCACATCATAACTGATGAGTAAAGAAATTCATATAATGTCCCCGTGAATGAGGTTACTCACATCCCTGGAAAGTGAAAGCAACCACACCAAGCCACTTTTGAATAGGAAGGTCCACTGGATGTATAGTAATTCAGGACATCCATCCTTGGGCAAGTGAAGATTTCCACAGTATCTCCTAGGCAACTAATGACATCCATATCACCAGTATGGGTAATAGTGACATCATCTATCTACTTAGAGTAGCCTACCTTGTGGTGGATCACTACCTGAATTGCTTTGGCAACAGGCTGGTTGATAAAAACCCTCCTTAAACTGTAGACGTCTATTGATAATTGTCTTTATATTTATAGTGTTGGAAAAACCTATGGCCTTTGATGTAGTCCCTGTGGCACAGTGGTAAGACACTCGCCTCACGCTTCGCAAGCGATTTGGCCTGGCCAGGAAGATTTGACTAGGCTCCAATCCTCCACTGTACACCTCTGTTCACAGAGCAGTGAATGGGTATCTGGTGTTAAATTATTTGTCAGGTCGTATTCCAAGGAAAATTAAGATACTGTAAAGGATCTGCCCGAAATGCTATGCATGCTAGTGGCTTTACAAGAATGTACTCTTACATATCAGTACTGCATTAATATTTTTGTATTATTTATATAGTATTACTACTTTTCAATGAGGCTATTTTGCACATTCAAACGTGTCCATTTGTCTTATTATTTCACATGTTTGGAACTAGTCCTAGTACTGTACTTTAGTCATTGCATAATAGCTTGGGTGGTGTTCAATTAGTTAATGTAGCATTCCTGTAATAAAAAACCCAGGTAGATTAAAGTTTAGGCACTTGGCCAATTGTTCTTAGATACAGAATACAGGATGGCCTATGTATCGGTATGCTCTTGTTGAGTAATGACATCCCCAATATTTCCAAGGTAGAAAATGCCATACACAGCATCACCTTCCAGGTTATCTTGAGATGATTTCGGGGCTTTTTAGTGTCTTCACAACAAAATTTACAGCAGTGTCTGGATCAAGCAGTGGTGTCTACAGCATCTCTCCATGAATAATGGTTTCCACATCATCCCCTATGAGTATTGGTTTCAGCCTGTAGAATATAAAAAGAGAACACATGTACACAGCATGAAACTGAACTCCATTCATTTTCTATGTATGGAGGCTTAGCCCCACACACAAAATGAGTTGCACTACAACTTATCACTAATTTGCTGACAGACACTAGAGTAATTTTCTGTGATTGTCAACTCTCCAAGCACTTGAAAACCCAACATGTAGAATAGATACTATGAATGTTGTAACATCCATTATAAACAACATAACACAGTGCGAGAGTTTGTCTCATTTGTAAGATACCATCCCCCACAGGTGTTGTCCAGCATCATGATACGGACAAGGCAGCTGAAACTCCATTCAAGCCAGAAATTGAGCTAGACCTAGGTATTCCAATCTCTGCTATGAAGACCGCACTAGTTCAGGAAGTTAGGGATAATAGACGAGCAGTTACCAACACTTGGAGGGCAGGAAGCACGAGTACAAAGTTATAATATGTTTAGAACTAAGAACCATACATATGGACATTACAAAATATTCACTAGACAGTGACATTTATAACTGTCAGAATTAAGCTGGGATATAGATATCTAAAGCAGGTGGTTATAGGTAACAAATCCCCCAAACCCCTAAATAGCGAGCATTCCAATTGTAAACTGATGGCAATAGCTAAGAGACACTCCAAAACTATATCTATGATTGCCTTGTTATCAATGGTTTCAGACCAAATGGTATGAGGTACTTTTGAGCTTTGTAACTATTTCATACACTCACAAGTATTGGAAGGTATTCTTGTGCTCTACCCAGATTTTGTTAGTGCAAGCTAACAGATCAGCCTCACATTTCTTGTTCTCCCGATTCCATATACAACTAACCATCCTGCGAGATGGGGATATAAGATGAACTCATAGCTAGCTTTTGATCTATACTCTGTAATCCTTCACATAGAATAAGGTAGCAGCACATTGCTGTATATGCCTAAGCTTGTTACTAATAATGATAAAAAATCAAGTCATGGCATCTAAAGTATCTCCAAGTTGAGTAATTGTGTTCAAAACATCTGGAGATTAATGTCTCCTAGGTTGGGTATAATTAGATTAAAATCAGACCCACAACTTTCTTAGTGTCCTTTTAGCTTTGATCAGTCCCAGAAATAACATAACTCAAAGACAATAATACTTGTGGTATTCCATGCATAATGGTATACCAGTAAAGGAAAATTTTGATGCCGTGTAATCCTGCCTCGACTAATGTTGTATTGTGTGATAATCCTTTTGTGGTCTTTCACCCTACTCACCACATTGCTTCATGATCTCTTCACCCATCCCCCTTTCCCTGGACTCTAATTCTGTAACCTCTCAATTCCTCCTCTGTAGCGTGACCACTCCCGCCTGCTGGAGCACTCCATGAACCTGGCATCGTACGCTCACCATCGTGGCTATCACGTTGTTGACACCTTCAACATGACTGCAGCACGCTATAGACACTTTCTTCAAGGAAAGTGTGCATGTCACTTTCATCAGGTGAGTGGTAGGCACTATTAGTACAGGAAATGGGTGGTAGCAATGGTGGGTACTACCAAGCTTTCAAATGCTGTTTGGAAATAAGTTGCTATTACAGAAGTACTTGTATGGATGTTTACAAAGTGTACAGATAAGATATAGCTCGGTAGCAAGTAGGTAGTCTAGTGATCAACAGCAGCAGACTGTGGTCTGTTGGTTGATAAATAGGTTAGTAAAAAGTAGTTTATGTTAGTAGCAGGTTGTCTTGGGCAGTAGTAAGCCAGTACTATAGCATCTAAGTCAGTAAAGACTTGATATTGACCTAGATTAGACTTACTGGTACCAAACCTACTTGCTACATGAATTCGGTAGTCTGGGCTAAAATTATAAATGTGAGCACATACTGTAGTCTCACACCTTTGTAATTTTAGATAATTATATACTGTAAATATTACAAAATTAAGAAGTGATATCCAGAGACAATTTTTTAAACAGAATTCTGAGTTCACCAGGTGATTCTACTCTTAAACAGAGGCTTATGGGAAATAGAGATCTATATAAATTTGTATGAAAGCATGCCACTAGATAACGTTTTAAGGGGCCCCAAAGAACAACAAATCGTTGGTAGTCAAGGAATTTGTTTTGGGCATGGTAGTGATTATTTGTTTCACACTGCAAATTCAAAGCAGGAAAACCATTTATTTTTTGTACAATTTCACCTGTTATTTTATACCATTTGATAAACTCACCTTCTTGATCTACACTATTTCATTAACTGTCAACCATGCTCTACTCATGAAATCCCAACATGAATGTACAGTATATATAAGATACAATGTAATTTACATATTGAAGGTCATGTACATTGATGCCCATCTCAGATGTTGGCTGGCTTATGGAGTGAACCCTAATTAGATCTCAGAAGTGAGAAATTGTATAGTACTGTACTTGAAATAAGTAAGGATGATGCCGTTCCCAATGAAGAGGTTGCTGTTGTCCACGAAAACTTCCCAAACTTTGTCAGCATATCGCCACTAATTGATAAGCACTGCTACTTACCACACTTATTGTTGCACCTGCACATAAATGGAAAACGCCACTTAGGTGTTCATGCAAGCTCAAGAGACCGACACAAATGTAGTGAGCAATGATTACAAAGTTCTCTTTACGTGAGGTTTACAAGTATTCATAGCCGCTCCAGATGGCTTGTACATCACATTCTACTTCACCCAGATGAGTTACTGTATATTGTATTAAAAACACAAGAACCATAAGTCAAGCATGTCGAGAGGATTAGTATCACACATGGTTATTATGGAAGTTCTGTTGATGCTGCATCAGTTATGGTGGCAATATTCACCCAATGTTAGCATTGTAGACTGGAAACTATATCGGAACTTTAAAGAAATTTACTGAGCACTGACTCAAGGCAAGCTGTTCTACGCAGAGTACCCCATTGTACCCAACATACCTGGTATCCTGGAGAAATTAAAACAAAAGATGTCTAACGGTTCCAGCATAACTTGGATTGTGAACAAACTCACCATGTATAATTATGGGCCATTGGAACCGATTGTTTTTGTATGCTAACTGTTGCTCAGTGCAGATTTGTGTTCATCACTGAATGCAAATGCTTGCCTCCAAGTTAATGTTCTCACCAGAACAGAACTGTAGTCCCTCCAGTATTATTTTTTTTTTTTTTTTTTTTTTTTACAAAATTTAAATGGTCCACTCAACACAAAGGCTGTTTTATCTCTGAAATGGCTTCAGACTAGTAGTATTTCAACTTATGTTTAAACAATATTCAGTCAACTCCAGAGCATGTTACCTGACAAGTTTTTGTAATTGTTATTTGTTGTCTCATTAAGACATCCAGGCTAGTGGCTTGCTGTCTTCACAAAATTCGTATGGAACAAATCTTGGGTGAATATGGTAAATAACATACAGCTGTGTAGGCTGTATCAGGCGACATCAATACCAATGGTAAAGCAATGTATTGGGTAATTGGATACCATTGTCAGGGACAGGAAGCTTAAGCATATGAATTTGCCCAGCCAAAGAAGAGACTATAGATGTGGTCACCCATCTAATACATGCCAGAACAAGATATTTAACCTGACCAACCTAAGTGTTACACACATTCACTGCACCATTGTAGGTTGTACCAAGTGACGAGGCTATATCAGCAGACTGTGGGTTATGCAAGATGACTAGAATACCATTATATGGCTGCAACTTCTTTTGAACTGTAACTTCTCTCAATATCATCATCTGTGATTTGGCGACTGTCAGCTATGCACTAAACCAGTTGGGTATTACAGGTGGTGGCAAGACGCAAGCCAGGAGGGGAAACGGTGTATCATGTAGAGGGGGAGATCAACGCCATCTACACCAACATACTTGCCAACGCCATATGCCCCCACCACCTACCTGCCAGATGATGATAGGTGAGATGATGATTTATTATAGGTAACTGCAATAAGGTGATGGATGGTAAGTGAAGATAAATGGGGTAGTTTAAATAGGGCAAGAATGGTATATGATTGCAATAGGTTACAGTTAAGGATATGAAAATGTGGTAAAAAATGTTATTTTGAGAACAATGGTACAAATGATGATGGGGAGGGGGGGGGGGGGTGCTGATACTAGGGAAGGCTGATGTAAATGACGAGAATGCTTACCTAGCTGCGTCTGCTTGGAACAAGATCTAACTCTTAGAACCACACTTCACAAGTTTATAGCTATTGTACCCAATACACTTTTACATCCTGATGTTTCAGTAGTGTCATACTTGCAGTTGAAGCTGTGAATGATGGTTGCATTCACCCCTCTAAGTGAAATTAGCTTCATCTGTTTACAGTTCATGGAAGCAATTCTTAACATTTCTCTAGCTCACATGTTTCCCATTTGCTTGAAAACGAAGGTAACTTGTATTTTTTACCAGCATTCATGTTGGTCCTCTGCCTCCTTACATACTTTTGAACAATGGGTTAAATCTTGATCTTATATTCCACTCATTTTGTAAGTGGCATGTACTATTCTGTGCATTTATAGGCTATGTACTACAAATTGATGATGGGCAAGGACGAGATATATACGAGACCACAATAAGCAGTAGTACATAGATAGGACCATGATGATTTACAGTGTAGTAATAAGAGTGAAGATTTATGACATAAATGGTAGGTAGGGGATAAAACAAAATTGAATAGGCCAGCAAATGAATGAAAACTTACTAGTTATAAAGGGTGGCGACAGATACAACCGAAGCAGGATAAATGAAGGGCATGTGTAGCACATGGATGTGATAAAACTAACAAAAGATAAGACATGATAAATTCATACATGTTAAATACAATGTTAATGCTTTCTATTTTTTAATTGTTCTCTCCTGCAGTTCATTATGGGGTCATAGTATCCATCAACCACTGAGAAAGGACTTCGATTGGCTTCCAGCTTCCTAGTGTTGTGTAACATATTGACATCAGAAAATGACATGTTTTTATTATTCATTAACTTCCCCATTTGGAATAGTATATCTCCATAGCCATTAGATACTGGTATTATAAATTTACACTGTGATGGTTAGAAATTGGCTTATTAAAGCAAATGCCTTGTAGTAATTACCTTTTTGCTTATGGTAGGGAATGTGACAAATTTTACTTTTCATTTAGTGGTTGGACACATTCAGCATTTCTCACCAAAAATATAAATTTATAAATTTTATTGTACTGTTAAAAATATAGCACTATATAAAATTATTCACTACTGTAGTAGCTGTCATATCAAAAAATTAATGTATTCACTGCTCCACAAAAAGGAATAGTTTATGCAATAAACATTTCATAAAAACTGCATTTATGTTGGTAGTATTCTAACTCTTAACTGTAATTGACAACTCAAATGCATGACATACTTCCTAACTACAGAAGTGAATACGTGTGCTTGTGTGTGTGTATAATTACCCAAGTGTAGTTACAGGACAAGAGCTATGCTCGTAGTGTCCCGTCTTCCCAGTAAAAATGGAAGATAGCTCTTAAGTGTGGGCTGGACCTGGTGACCGTCAGGACTCTGTTGGTCGTCCCCACAACCTGGCCATGACTTCCTAAAACTATTACGGGATAGAGAGACTGTTCTGCCAAGAACATTCATTTTATCAATGCCAGACTTACCCTAAAAAGTGTGTGTGTGTGTGTGTGTGTGGTGTCTAAAAATGTTGTGTACCTCCATGTGTGCATGTGCTGTAGATATTGTATATACTATTATAATATTTTTGTATGAAAATTAAAACCCAACAGCAATAAAATTATGCATACATATGTTGTCATTTACTCCTGTAATTTGCCATAAATTTTAATAAATATTAATTAAAATTTAAGCTAATTTTTACATGAAAGGGCAGATTGGCAGCATAATTTAAAATTACTTGGTAATCCAGTACAGTACTTCCATAGTGATATTGCAAAACAATGTTTAAAATAATTTAAATATTCATAGATTGCAAACCATTTGTTGCTCCATGATAGTTATATTAACAGAGTTGCAGAATAGTAATTAAAGTATAGCTAATAAAATAATAATAAATGTACTAATAAAAGTATAGAGCACTTTCGTGTTCAACTTAACCCGGAGACAACAAATACTAAAAGTTCAACATGTAAGCAGGACAAGGCTATCTACATGAAGTTAGAATCACCAGGTAGATATTAAGACAATTATTGTAGAAGAATAGGGAAAATTTGTTTTCTATTATCCTGAACATTAAAGTGATGAAAGTTATCAAAATATTGCAAGTTTTCCCAAGAAATCAAGAAGCATACAATGAACAGCAATACTCATCAACAGCCTTGTAGGACACGTTAAAGTGTACCCAAACACTACATGGTCTGCTAAGATCTCCCCCACTTGTGTGATATGTTGGTTGAACCATCAGATGAATGAAACAAAATGACAATGAATTTTCACAAGGCAATGATGACATTGCATCATTGAAGTATTAGTGTACTTTATACACATAGGTAACCAAATACCCATTGGTATACACTGTAAAGCATTAGTATATACCAATCTCAGGATTTTGTATCCCTAATTGTGGACAGTTCATTCAGGAGTCTACTAAACTGGTGGCTAGATTGTTCTATTGTACATTTTATATTTTGTCAAAAAAAAAAAACAAAAAACAATTTGCTGAAGTTGCTACTTGGTACATAGCTGCTTACAGAAGGGGGTATATAGCACTAAAGAGTTAATGCCATTACATGGGTGTATCAGTAAGGGGTTGTCTTAATTTATTTTCATCTACATCTGAAGGTGTGAAGTAGACCAGTTCACTTGTGAACGCTGCACGCCGACTTTTACGGTTTGAATCAAGCATGTGTTGTGTACATCACTATCAACAACTTACCTCCATGGGGCCTGAGAGTTAGGCATAAATTAAGACATACTGTACGAGTGAATTTGACGTACCTACCCTGTTGACGACTTCGCTTATCAGTAACCCCATGGCCCGGTTGCTGGTTTGATCAACCAGGCTGTTTGACGAGGCTGCTCGTAGGCTGGTTGATCAGGCATCCTTTTAAAATGCTTGTCAAGTTCTCTCTTGATCACCGAGATCGGTACCCAATAAATTTCTGAAATTCCAATTTCTAAGTACTAGGGAGTATGAAAGCAATGGAAAGTCTTAAGGTCATAGGACTGTGATGACGACATGTGGGTTGAATTTTTATAAGTCTTCAATCCACATGCCATCATTGCTGTCCTATGACCTAAGATTATTTAACGTGTTAATCACATTTCTACAATGGTCTCCTGCTGTTAGCTGGGGAGTGCATGAGCACAACCCCCCAATTTTATTTTCTAGTTACTATTCATAGGTGAATATGAATTAGTCCTCTGCCAGGAATAGCATTGTTACTCCCATTCCCTCAACAGCTTCTCGACCATCGCATCAAGACAGGAGTACTTTCTCGAGTAGATACTTTACAGTAAACCAACCTGGGGCAATCCTCAGCTCAGGAAGGTTATCTTGAGATGATTTCGGGGGTTAGCGTCCCGGTCCTCGACCAGGCCTCCTTTTTGTTACACACCCCCAGGAAGCAGACAATAGAAAACCAACTCCTTCCTGAAGAAATACAAGGTGTCCATACCTTCCTAAAAGGAAGAAACTGTTGCCAACACAAACTTCACATACACCCCAATGGGTTTTGTGCACCATTAGGTGTCCCTTTACCTTAAAGGAAAATTTGCTGTACCATACAGAATTTTTTAAATTTTGTAGTAAGAGTAGGTGATACAGCACAACTACCTGTTATTTATCAACAGCTGAATTACTAGTTAATCAAACCTCACAACCTGCCAACTGAACCACTATCATCCCTCAGTTTTTGGAATTAAGACCAAATTTATTATCTTATTTAAAATTTTATTATTTTTTTTTCCATGATTGTGGTATAAAAAAATATTGGTAAATTAATAATATTTGGCTTTCATGGGGGTATATAGAAGTCTTCTTCATTTGTTCTCATGTAAAGTCTCCCTTACACTTTGAGATAAAAACATAAAAAATTAAAATTAATAAACATTTCTATGGTAGCAATTCGAACCGAGATTATCAGGAACATCCCTTCCTTCTCTGATGTTTAAAATAAATTCATAAAACTGGTTCTCAAAATACTACCTAACAAAATGAATAAAATGAACATTCTGTAATTACTACTTTGGATGCTCAATTCCAGTAAAAACACAATCATGTTTTTTTTGTAATAGCAATTGTAAACCTATCACGAGTATACCAATTAATGTTCGCCGTCACCGACTCCAGTCGATCCAAAACCATTTTCACCTCGTTCCGTGTCATCAATTTCCTGAAAATAATAAAAAAAATCAGACTTTGAATAAAAGCTCCTTTAACCAGATCTACCCTGGTTTCAAAGGGATTGCATTATAAGGGTGATATACTGTACTATTGCCAGGGAGGCACAATTCAGCCCAAACTACAGTAAGTTTACCCAAAGGGCTTTCCAAGCTTTATAGGGCATTACAAGGAGCAGCTAGTAGAACTCCCACAAAGTGATGGTTTGCCCAAGGGAACACAATGTGCAGCTAAGTAGGGGTAACCAAGAAATAGATTTTTTTTATAGGAGAGGAGTGTTTAACATGAATGACAGACCAGTGAAAGTTGCTTTCCCAAGAAGTCATCCAGTGATGTATATACAGTACAGGTAGAGAAGATTAAGACATGGTGGAAGATACAGCCAGGTGTTCACTGACCAGGAAGACAAGAGAGAGGAAGTAAAGGAACAGGCAATGGAGCTGGGGAAGGGATGGGGGGTTAACCAGGAGACCAGGGTGGGAGGAGGATAATCATGCTCAGCAAGAGTGCATCTAATCACACTGGTGAGAGAGAGACCAAGGGGATGAGAGAGCATGACTTGACCAACACTCAAATGATACCTTCTGGAATGGGATTAGTCCAAAGGGAGAATCTACCCTTTCCAACATAGAAATTAAGTAGCCCAGCAGAAATGAGTAGTATAGAACTTGGGTTAACAAATCCAGACAGCATTACAATGCTAAAAATGTCAGCATACTCGGACCCATTAAAGTCAAAATACTGTATACAAAAGATAATTTTTGAACACAGAAATGTTTATCCTAAAAGAAATATACGTACCTCCACTTCCTTCAACTCGGGATAAAATATTCTTTCACATATCAGCTGTGCTATGCGATCACCTTTTTTCACGTGAAAATCAACCTTGGCATGGTTGAAGAGAACTACACCAACATTGCCCCTGTAGTCTCCGTCAATCACACCAGCTGGAAAGTTAAAGCAACAATTACACAACATTACTTTCAACTGCCATCAGTTGGAAGATTAAGTCAGTAATACAGCTGGGAATAAGTCGGAAGAATATCACTATCATTACAAAACTTTAATATCTTTTTACCTTCAATTAAAATTACATTGACTAGGTTGCACAATGTATCTAAATAATCCAAAACTCCATAAGAAAGGCAAAGGATAAAAATAAACGAACATAAAAATAAGGCAAATAGGACACTGGGAATTTATTAATCGAAGCAATAGTAACAAGACATCTGGTTGCGTTCTTCAGCTATATCTTGCTCTGGTTAGGCCATATTTAGATTATTCAGTCTAATTTTGGTCACCGTACTAAAGAATTGATATAAATTCACTTGAATGTGTCCAACGTAGGATGACAGTTAATTCCCCAAATTAGAAATCTTTCATATGAAGAAAGATTAATACAACTTAAATTGCATTCACTGGAAAGGCGAAGAGTTAGGGGTGACATGATAGAAGTTTACAATGACTGGACATAACAAAGGGGATATTAATAGGGTATTAAAAGTATCAACACAAGACAGAACACGAAACAATGGGTATAAATTGGGTAAATTTAGATTTAAGAAAGACTTGGGTAAATACTGGTTCAGTAACAGGGTTGTTGATTTGTGGAACCAATTACCGTGTAACATGGTGGAGAAGGGATCCCTCAATTGTTTCAAATGTGAGTTGGACATGTATACAAGTGGGATTGGATGGTTATAAATAGGAGCTGCCTCATACGAGCCAATAGGCCTTCTGCAGTTACCGTTCTTCTTATGTTCTTATGTAAACTGGGAAATAAAAAGGGAAAGAAAATAAAAAGGGGAACTGAAGCAAACCTAAAATCTCAGGCTGATGAAATGAACCCAAGAAATGCATCTAGTGTAAGTGAAGAGCAACACGCAAAACTAGTGTATGGATAAGTTGGACGACAAAAAACCTGAGGGAAGAGTCCCACTCTCAGTAGAAACCAAGTAACAGACAGATAAGGTAACAACAATTCCTAACCTCCAACATCAATGTGATTCTTCCAAGCAAGACCAGATCGTGGAGCTACTCGTCCATAGCAGTTCTCGGGTAATTCTACTTGAATATCTGTCTTTATTAAACATTTTCCCTGTGCTGGCACCGTAACATCGTAGGCACTGAAAAAGCAACAGTTGGTTACGGTACAGGTAATAAGTAATGGTAATGTTTACTCACACATAATAACATTGAATATACACCCACACTTGTGTATTTGAGATTTATGTAAAGAATTTACATCAAGTCTGTAAATTTACATCAAGTCTTGGACCTGCTTTGTCCAGGTCTGAATGTGGACGAGACTTGCATCTCAACATATAATCGAGAAGTCGAGATGCAAATCTCGTCCTAACCACATACTCTGACCTGGACAAAACACTCAGGAGTGCTAAAGACTAATTTCTTTACATAAATTTTTCACAAACGCACAAATGTGGGTTTTAGTCCAAAATACTGTACAGGAAATTATATTATCATATATTAAATGAATTATTAATATCAAACTGAAGTACCTTAAAAACGTGAGAAATTCATTTGAACTGGCAGAGGTTGAATGCATGGAAAAAGGCTTGGTACGCACAACCCAAACAAGCAGCCTAGATGGCCTAGACAATATCAGAGCACTATGTGCTCGCACTTCACTTGCAAATTAACCACAAAAATGGTGCGACACTCAATTTTAACATCCAAATTTCACGTTTAAACTGAAGTTTTTACAAGATTCAACTCAAAACAAGAGTTTATATAACTTATTACAAACTAAGCTTTCTACATAGGATACCATTATATAACTTTTTTATATGCCAGTTTCCATCCAAAAAAAACTATAAAACATTTCCTATTTTGTAAGTTTGAACATGTTATACAACATACACAAATTGTTATTATATATAAAGCTGCGTCAGATTAGGTCTTAAAAATCCTAAACATAAACCGTCAGATATATGGTGACGCACAACCTTCGACATGGAGTGCAGTCCTTAGGTAGAAAGGTTCTAAAAAACTGGTCATTTGTACAAATAGTATATTTCAAATTTTTATAGAATTTTCAACACCTACATCAGATGGGAGTATGGCTTGCTTATTATGTTGCAGTTTGTTAGGGCCTCGTAGGCTAGGGTGGGGCCCAGTAGGCTAGGGTGGGGCCCATAGGCCAGGGTGGTCCTGTACCCTAAGGTGGGGGCCCCATAGGCTAGAGTGGTCCTGTACCCTAGGGTGGGGTGGGATGTAGAACCGATTCAAAAATCCATTCTGGTTTGGAAATACTCTGTATCCGTATTATAAGTTTTTAAGAAATATACCCTTTCATTACTTATGGCGCGAAACCAGTGTAAACAAAGACAGGTCCCTCAATTATGGCGCGAAACCACTGTAAACAATGAAAGGTTCCTCAATTATGGCGCAAAACCACTGTAAACAATGAAAGGTCCTTCAATTATAGTGGCTTTAGTGGTATAGTGGCTTACAGGTATTGTATGTACTAGCTCTATCTTTAAATCCAATATTATGTTTGTAACTCATCATCTATGCATGTACTTTTCCTGAATAAAAATTTGATTTGATTTGAATTATGGCGCGAAACGAGTGTAAATAAAGAGAGGCTCCCCCCCCCCCTGTGGTCACGGTTTGTAACATGACGTGACGTAACAGCTTCCTCCGTCACACGGCTAACCGTTAGGGGGTCCTACCGTGACGTTGTCAGGGAGGAGGACTCCCACCGGGGACACCACCGCCGGAGGGACATGCCCGGACACACACACATACCACCATACCTGCACAAGTCATATCCAGCAGCCAACTTGGACCCTCTGCTGGGGGCGTAGGCGTTCTTCGTCAGCCTCTTGAACCTCAGCAGGCACTTGAGTTCCCCAGGCATGGTGGTGGTGGTGTTACAGGAGCGCGTGTAGGATCCTGGTACAAGGCGAGGGTGTCAGCCTGCAGGAGGAGGAGCAAGACGGTGTTCACTCGCTGGCGGCTCCGGCGCGTCTGAAGTTCAAATCTGGCGGGAAAACTGAGCACAGCTGCCCAGGCATTTCCTTTATCCTACAAATTCGTCGAAAACTCGAATTTATATTCTATTTTTCTGTTTTTTTAACTCAAGATATCTGTCAAATTTATTTTCTGTATTTCTGTCTTTTCATTTAAATAATTGTAGTCATTACAGGAAAATTCTATATACATACAAATGGATATTATCATGCTTTACGTTCATAACCGTCAAACTTAAACAAAAAATTATATTTTGAAATTTAATGAGCCATTATTAGTTATCTGTAGCTTTTACTTTTTTGTTTCAATAGATATTCAAAATCGTGAAGTTGTTGTTTCGTCAGAGTTTATTTGTTTTTTATATTGAGGCAGGAATTTTCTCCCCTGATTCCATGTATGACAAACCACCTTGTGAGATGGAAATATTAGATGAACTTAAAGCTAGTTTTTTATCTACACTGTGTAATCTTTCACATAGAATAGAGTAGCAGCACATATCTTTGTATACCTCAGCTTGTTAATAAAAAATTATATATACCTGTCAAACATTTATATTTTTGAATTCAAACGGACTGTTTCACCGATTTTTAAATTCTTTACAACTATTTAGGACCTTTTATTTATTATTATTATTAAGCTTAAGCATACACAGCAATGTGCTACAATCCTATTCTATATGAAAGATTATAGAATGTTGATCAAAAAGGTTCATCTAATAGGTTAGTGATTCAAGGAATCATTAGAACATGAATAGCGAGGTTGATTTACCACCAGACGTTATACAATATGCGCCGCACTGGCTTTTCAAGAACGTACCATTTAATAACCTTTATATATATGTATATATATATATATATATAATAATAATAATAATAATAATAATAATAATAATAATAATAATACACATGCTTCCTGTTCCCTGGATTTTTTTGTATATATTTATGGCAGGTAAGATTTAACTTCTCTCTCAATAGTTAGCACAACACTTGTATATTCTATTTTGCAAGTTAGGTTATTGAGAGCTGCAGGAGCTGGAGTTTTGTCACAGAGAACTACAAATCTTCCTGTATTTTTCAGCGTGTTGATGAATACAGTTGTTGTACAGCAAACTATTTGCTGTAACACTTAGCAGTTATATCTACCATACATTCTATTAGAAAATTTAGATTTTTCATTGTTAATACTATCAATGGATAGAGCAAGTATTTTTATTCAAACTATAAATGAACATTCTTTTACTTATATTTCTAAGAATTTAAATATGAAGTACACGTGTCATAAGTGTCAAGCTTCATAGCCCTCAACCTGCTTGCTGGCAGTAGACAACCTTAGTGCAGCCTTTAGTCCATGGGCTCAATGTATCAATGATAACCAAAATTTGATTATCTAAATAACGATGTTTACACACATAACAGCACTTTCCTTTCCTTTTTTTTTTAAAGAGGCCCTAAGCCTCTGGTTGGCCCACCAAGTGTTACTCATTTGTCTTATTAAAGTAGTGATTGAGTACTTATGACTCATATGTTAGCTTCAGTTGTGTCCAATGTGTTTAACAACTTTTGCGTTGTTAATAAATCTATGTAAACCTTATTTGATTATAACTCTGCGGCACTGGACTGCATGACTGCACACACACACCAAATATCAAAACAAAATCCATATCTCAACTAATATTGCTGCTCAAATAGGTCAATTACAACCATGTACTGGCTTAATTTTATTGGATATTTCTCTATAAAACATACATCCTGATGCAAAAAAAATGAAACCATACTTTTTTTATAGATTACGAAAATTAAAATTTGGTTATCTAAATAACGATAATGTTTATTATGTTGACAAGTTTTCCACCATTAGAAATATATTATGCTAGAGACATTTGACTATACAGCCAGATGGTAGCACAGTTGGACCTAGCAACTTCCTTATCATTTCCAAACAAACTTTTGAAACATGATTGGGTAAATACAATCACCGCTGTAGCTCATGACTCGTGCAACAAACTCCTAAACCAATATCCACAGAGAACATGCTGTATTAAGGTGCACTCTTTGACCACAAGCTGCAAAAGCCAGCCTCTTTGGGTTGTAGTCGAACATGTACGTATCCTAGGATCATAGCCTATACAAGCACACATCCTTCGATCTTAAGTTGTACACGTAGGTAACTTTGAATTACAACTTATACAAACACATATCCTCAGAGCACCATCTTACAAACATGCATTCATGAGCACAACCTGCACATGTATGCATTCATAAGCATAACCTGCACATGTATGCATCCTTAAGCACAACCTGCATATGTATGCATCCTTAAGCACAACCTATGTATACAATATACATCACCTGTGGATCACATCTTCAATAATACATCTTTCCAACCCAATCTGCAGATGTGCACACTTTTCAGTATTTAAAAAGCATACCCTCAAAATAGTATTATTGCATTAAATTGTCTTCTACCAGCCCCTAGCTTACTAAAAATGTGGTTAAATAGTGAACAGGTCCAGTGCTATTTAATACTATACACTGTAAACACCATATGTAACGCCTCAGGGGTTCAGCATCAGAGATATACCAGGTAAAATCAAGGCAGGAAATCATCAGTTGTCATATAAATATACAAAAGTAACCGTTATTTCAGCCAAAAGTCTAACAGCTGTGGCACAATTCGGTGATGAATGCTAAAATCTTTATATTTCATTCTCTTGCCAATCCATGATAGAACGACTGATACTTAAAAAGACATTCATCTACTACTGTCCTGGTAAACTGTAAACTGCTTCCCCAACTGTTACATTGATGATAACCCATAGGAAAGTGAAGTGTAAATGAACTATTCTTCAATGTCTCTAAGATAATTATATTACAGTTCTTAGGTTATGTCTATCAAAAGTAATCTACCTAGAGAACTAAGTACATCCCAGTTTCTAATGAATACTAATGGAATAAACACATAACACACACCAACATTACATTACAGTATATTTCAGCTTCTCCAATATCCAAAAAAATTACACAGGAAAGACATGTAACTTTCGTTCCCCACTACTGTAATAATACACATACAGGATACTCAATTGAGGGCAACAAATGACTATTGCACACAATGTGACAAGCACCTTCCCTCTCATATTCACTCTCAAGTAACTTCTGTGTCAGAGAACCTTCCAAGGCATGTTCATCAAATGCATACTCACATATAAAAGAAAACATTATCCTTATAACTTCAACGAGATGACTTATAATCAGTATTATAAAATAACAAAATTTTCACGTTTCTTCTTTACAAAGAACTAAATTTGTAAGAAAGTCACGAAATCACCATAAATCTATAAACCAGTGTCTGTCACAAACGTAGATACGTAATATCTTGTTGAATAACTGTGTCCGAATGGCAGGTACAGCTGTGTAAAATAAATCGATATAAAAATATGCTAATATATTATTAAACTAAATTTAGAATTATTTCATTAGTTGGTCCTTTTCTTCAGACTCTTCTGGCTGAGAACTTGAGCAACTAACATTACCATTATCCTTTTCAACTTTATTATTAAGTTCAACTATGCTGCTACCTGAGGAAGTATTATCTGGTTCTTGACCTACTGTTGAGTCTGAGTGTGGTGGGCTACTGGAAGAAGTTGAAGCAGTAGCACCAGTGTCTATAGTAGGGTCGGAACTCTCATGGAGAGGTGATGACGTACTCGCAGAAACTGCAGGGGGAGATGAGGCAGAAGGTAAACTTTGCGAGGTGGTATGGGCTACTGAATCTGAAGGTGACGATATGGACGGAGCAACTGAAGGATCCGGGACTGTAGCCGAGGAGGGGTCCGTAGATGGGGAAGGGGAAGAGATGGGCGAGGATGGAGTCCCAACAACAGAAGGCGCAGGCTGGTTTAACGCACCGTTGCTCTGAGCTTGGGAAGTGCTATCAGCTTCATGACTGTCATTGCTGTTATCTTCCTGTACAGAAGGAGTTTCTATTATATGTTCTGATTCATTTCTGCTACTGTTTTCTGCAGCAGCTGCTGCTTCTGAAGTGCCTTCTCTTTCATCCTAAAAGGTGCAGATGAAGATTATTAAATATTCTCTCAAAATAAATATAATCTTTAAATTAAGACAGTGTTGTACAAAAGCTCCATACTAAGTGTATTAAAAAACAAATCACCTTTATACTTATCAACAGTGTGTGTGCCTTTCCCCACATGATGCATGCACATTCTTCTCACACACTCCTCACCCTGAACACCTCCATACTCAGTTATTGAAAGAAATAAAAATATGAGTGACAAGAGTCAGAACTGCCTTGAGGAATTTAGTGATTAACATTATACAAGGGAGACAAAAAAAAAACTGGCAATAGCAGTGATTCTACCATGGATTAAATGGGACATTTAGCTAATGAATCTGAAAATTTAGGTACACTGGAGAGCTTCCAAAGTGTAGGTGTGATATAAAGAATGGCTGCAACAGGAATGATTAAGAAAATTGTAAAAAACATTGAAAACACAATTGAAGAGGATAAAGAGAATTATGTCTGTGGACAATTCATTTATTGTAATGTTACTTGACACAATGTTAGAAATGGAGGAAAAATGCTACAGTTAATATTATATATTAACTGGTCAAGAAAAAGCACCATTTACAAAGACCAGTTCTGAACTCTAAGACGGTGCATGTGTGCAGAAAAGACATTATTGCTAGTTCACATGTGCACTATGAAAAATCAAGCAGTGTAGATCAGATGACATACAATATACTGTCAAGGCTATAATAAGCTATAGATCAGATGACATACAATATGCTGTCATGGCTATAATAAGCTATCACCAAAACACTATCCCATTTCCCACTTTGGAATGAGCATACACATGTATTTTATCACTTGTCGTAATAAAACTTTTGAAAATTTAAAAATGAATAGATAAAAGTGCAAAGTTTTGTAAATAAAAATTAGGATTTTGGATTTTCGGATCTAGATTTTGGATATTAAATTCCTAATTTATCATCAAACGAGTCACTTATGACACAGGTAACTCTTGCACATACAGTAACACTATGTTGCATAAACAAAAATTCACAGCATGTAACAGTACTTAAGGCATCTGCTGACATGATCATCACACCATGTAGATTTCACTATCTGCATCACACACATTCTCTAAAATATGTTTCATCAAAAATATCTGATCCCGAACACCCTCTTCCATCCAGGAAACCACTGTGTTCATCACCGACCACATTAGCAGCTTATCATTCAATTACACGAACCTTAAATATTGCCTTTTACCCCACCACCACCAGTCTCCCTGATGCAACTACACTATGAAAATGAAGAGAATGCCGACACATCTTCTCACACTTCAATGTTATTCAACACACTATAAACAGATAGGGTTATGAGAAGAAATTTGTCTAGTAGTAGGGATAAAAAAAAAAAAAGCATTGAATGTAATGAAACACCATTTTCTGGGTGAGCGGCTCCATTTTCCCTGGAGCTATTGGACTGACATATGCTATATACTCTGGGGCATCAGTCAATGGAGTTCTGCCTACTGGAGACCATGCACCAGAACCTGCCCCCCCCCCCTCTCCCCAGAGAGGCAGAGAGAGCAATGGCCTATAGAAATCCCCCATGTGTTTGGGGACATTCCATGTCTGTCATCGACCGGGGTTAGGCACCCAGAAAGGTGGCATAACAAAACAGTTCCTACCTAAAAAGTTTACCTTACCTGGTAAGAAATTGCAACCAAAGACCTAAAAGAGAGAGACAGAACTCCCCCAAAAACACAAGGAAACATGGACGCAAGCTAACGCCATTCACAGCCGCTGTGCCGCTTGTCCCCACAGCCCTCCCTTACCCAGGAGGGAAAGGGGGAAGCCCCAGACCCCCCGCGCCGGCTACTTAGACCTTCAGTTCAGAGGCTGAGCATCAAAAGCAAAATGAAACTGCCGACCGGAGGGAGGGTGCTAGGGAGCCTCTGGAGCTCACCTAGAAAATGCTGTTTCATTACATTCAACACTGGTTTTCTGTGGGGAGCCCCTTCGACTCCCTGCAGTTACATACTCAAAGATAAGTAAAAGAGGGACTTACCCGAGAGGCAGCTGCAACGCACACATAAACTCAAAGTAAAGACAACTGGCTGCAACCCGTGACCCAAAGCCACACACGAACGACCGGGACCAGGAATGCTGACCAGATAACGGGCGGCCAGGACCCCTGTTTGACCTCCAAAACCCTCCATGCCCGAATATCAGCTCAAGACATGTTGCCAAACATGGCAGTCAAAGCAGAAAACTAATGAACTACATGGGCACGAGGGTAGACCGCAGGTTGGCTAGAATTAATAGCCCTGCAGACAACCTGGGAGCCCTGAGCCCTGAAACAGAGAACAAGGAAAGCTGGATCAACCCAAAGCACGTCCCCAACCACAGAAGCCAAGGCGTGTTGATAACAGCGAACAGCTGCAACAGGACACAACACATGATGCACCCCTGACATATTGCATACTATACAATGACCATCCAAGCATCAATGACTCAAGGGCCCCCTCCGGAAGGCCGCCGTCTCGTTCTTCGCCAGAAAAGGAGGAGATGGCTGCAAACGAACAAACCAACCACCAGGATCAAAAGAGCAGAAGCCCCTGCACCGGAGGAGAGCATGAACCTCATTAACCCAACCTCCAGAGGTCAATTCTAACAGAAACAGAGCCTTGGAAAAACAATCTTGAACCAAAGGGACCAACACAAACTGAGAAGAGAGAGAAAAGAGCGCATGAGCAGGCCAGAGGTGAAACAAAGCACGGAAAGCTTGCGAAACGAAGCCGAAGTGACATCCACCCTGAACTCAAGCTGGAGCAGCTCCACCAGCGCCACACAATAAGAGGCGACAGTATTGGGCATCAAATGACGATTATGAAGAAGCTATGAAAGAAAGAACAAAACAACCCTATCGAAGTGGAAGATAACCTACATAGAGAGAAGAAATGGCAAAAAGAACGGCAGGAAACTTCATACTGTCGCCAAGACGAAGCTCATAAGTGGGATACCATCAATAAAGCCACCTGATCACCATAGAAGTGGTGACACACCCACATCAAAAAGACTAAACGCGAAGAGCGGAGGAGTAGACTGAACCAGCCATGTACCAGACCAGTCTGATCTGCTGAAAAAGGCGGAGCTGCGGAAAATGCCCTGGGTTTGAACACTGAGCAAAAAACCATGACTGGGCCGGCCACCAAGGGGCCACCAGGACGACGCTCCCACAGTAAGACTCCAAAAGAGCCAGAACCTGAAGCAACAGCTGGACCAAGGGGGAGGAGGTATAGGTAACCCCACCTCGACCAGTCCTGCTGAAAGGCGTCCATCGTGATGGTTCTGTGGTCTGGGAAAGGCGCCACATATATCGGGAGGTGCCGAAACCATGCCAATGCGAAGAGATCCATCTCTGAGGGACCCGTATGTCCGGCAGAGCCAAGTGAAGGAGTCGACATTGACCGTCCATTCTGTGGACAGGCTGTCCACCAGGACGCTAGACACTCCCTGGATATGAACCCCGAGAATCCAGCAGACGAGTCACCCAAAGCGACCAGCCCCAAAGAGCCAAGGGCCAAAGAGAACCCCTGCGGTTCAAACAATGAACCACCGGAGAGCAGTCCTAATGGAGCCAGATCGTTGAGTCCCGAGCGACCCAAACCCTCTAAGCGACAGCCAAACTGCAGTAAACTCCGGAACCGAACCTGTGAGCTTGATGGAAGGATGGAGCCCACCGTCCCTGGCCGGCCTGGTCACACAACTCCAGTTGAGAGATGAAGCATTCGTAAACACATTGAGCGAGGGCTCGGGTAGGCGCCAAGGCACTGAACCTCGAAAAACCCGAAGAGGAAGCCGGGAATGCAGCAACCGACACAAGGCCCCCGGAGACTGAAAAAAAACGATCACAAGAGAGGCGGAAGGAACATCCCTGAAGGAACCAGAACAGATGCCGAAGCCAGACCCAACCCAGCGGGTAAACCAGCACTGTGAAGTTCAGACTCCCACATAGCTGCTCGAGCAATTGCCGGGTGACCCAGGAGCCCTCCAGAAACAGCTGAAGGTGGGACTGCAGCCACAGCAACACCGCCGGAGAGACATGGAAGTGAGTTGAGAGTCCCACACGAGGCCAAAAGGAAGGCAACGAAAGCGATAAGCCTGCTGCCCCACAACGAAACCTAGCCAGTCCCTGAACCTGGCATTTCTTTGCTGGGGTCAAAGATGTTGTCAACCCAACAGGCAACATGACGGAGGCAAAACAGGTGACTGTCACCCTGAGACAATGGCACAGAACAACCCTTCAAACTTGCACACGGCGAGGTGGAACTCAGAAGACACATTCATCGGTCAACTGAGCCCCAACGGGGGTTTACGTAGGGATGTCTTCTATGGGAAGCCCAGGCAAGGTACAGTTAGCCGGTTAACTCAAAAGCTAACAAGAAGGATGAGCTATAACTGCACCCCTGTGACGTATACAAGCACGGAAGCCTAGAGGAGGGCCACCAATATACCCTATGTAGACTAACAGCCAAATAAGGCAGACCCCCTCCAGGCAAGAAAACAAAAATAAAAGAAAAACCATGCAAAAGTACAACGACACTAGAAGCAACAGTATCACGGCCGCCGCGTAGGTAAGCAAGCAATGTAGCACCTTGCACCCTAACCAGCAACACCACCACTTCCTATCAAAGGCCAAATAAAGGGTACAAAACCCCAGCTGATCCCTAGGGTGAGGTAAATGCCGAGCAGCAAGAACCCCTACGAAAGTGGAATCCCGAAGGCTCTATGGAAGGTAACCCTTGAACCCAAGGGTAGTACTTACAGGGTGCCTAGAGTAGATAGCCCTAAGTGCATGAAGCCCCAGTACACTGTAGTTACTCCTGGCCACTGCACCACAAAGAGCAGGAACACCACAAAGGTACAAAATCTGCCAAGAAATCGAGGGAAGAGTTGACAACTGCCCCAGAGTGCATCAGCCTACGAACTGAAGATGTGAGTAGCTGGCACAGGGAGGGGGGGGGGGGTCCTGGGCTCAGGAAGGGAAGGGCTGCACAGACAAGCAGCACAGCAGCGGTGAATGACATTTGCTTGTTCGTTTATTTCCTTATGTTTGGAGGGGAATTCTGACTCTCTGTCAGGTCTTCGGTTGCAATTTCTTACCAGGTGGGGTCTGTTTTGTTATGCCTACCTTTCTGGGTGCCTAACCCCGGTCGATGGCAGACATGGAATGGTCCCAAACACATAGGGGTTTCTCTAGGCCATTGCTCCCTGTGCCTCTCTGAGGGGGGGCCAGGTTCTGGCTCGTGGTTCCCGGTAGGCAGAACTACATTGACCGATGATCCAGACTATTATAGCGTATATCAGTCCGATAGCTCCAGGGAACCGAAAGGGCTCCCCACAGAAAAAGTGTTGGAGCAAACCTAAAGCATCAGCAAAAATTACTGACATGTCAAAAAGTATTTATTAATTTATTAAAAGTATTTATTAATCATAATTTTTCTTGACTCAAGACCAAGTATGGAATCTTCATAAAACACACTAGGAAAATCAATAAAATAAGGATTTGATAGAATCACATCATATTATTTTTCAAAACAAATAAGCCCTTTAAACACCGCTATAGTATACAAATTACATCATTTACTACTGAAAATGAGATACATAATGGTTAAAATGTGTTAATAACCACACATTAAAATACACATTAAATGGTCTGCACTTAGCTATGTTACCCAAATTTCATCACAATAATTTGTTAATGGAGAAAGACCAATTAAACAAATTTATACAGATTTCAAGTAGAAAACATACAGAACTGGTCTTCCCTTCCCTCAGTGTCATCGTAATAGTTGCAGGAAACATAACACTGTGTGGAGTCAGCAGGGAGAATATTGTCAATTCTCAAAGAATTGGGTTCAAGACACTATCACGGACCCAAGGTTTACCAGCTTCCTGTTTCAACACCTCAATGTGGCGATACAGAAGAAAAATGCTTAATGTATTCTCAGTTCCAGTTTGGAATCAGAGTAGCTCCAAGAGATTCACACTCTTTAACCATTCACTATGATCACCAAGTTTAATGCATCGAACATTATCTTCGCAGATTATCAACGTTTCCTCGTTTTACTGACCATCCCCATACTAAGGATATCAGCAACACTGTATGATCAGTTAGAACCCCATACACTAAGGACTTGAAAACACAAATAACTATATATAAGTTTAGCTGAAATTATTGAATGCAAGAATTAAGAGACTGATGATGTCTTCATTCAGCACCCAAGACAGTTAATTTGGATTTGAAACAAGCTTACCTGAGGTGCCTTCGTCTGTTCCTCTTGTTGATGAACTAGCTCTAAAGTCCCTTCAACAGAATCTGGACTTTCTTCAGCATTTATTGTAGGCGCGGATGTTGATAATAAACCAACAGTATCATTCTCTTCTTCCAGTTTTTGTTCTCCACCTCTATGGGAACTGTTTGAAGAACACACTTCTGGGGATAATGACAATGATGTATCATCTTCTACTTCGTCTTTGTCCCTATCTTCCTCTGTGAGGTGAGCAGAATCCTCTGTAATTAATTCACTGGTGCCTACTTGCTGACCAAGTCTATCTAGGGACACCTTTGTTTCCTTTGCATTGCTTCTCACTGAATGACACGTGGCCTCTGCTTCTCTAGAGTCCATGGATTCTGTCTTGGCACTATTAGAGTTACTGCTGCTGCTGCTGCTGCTCTCACTGTCATCTTCACTGGCTTCAGCTTCCATACTCTCAGCATCACTGGAAGTATTAAAAGAGTCACTCTTTTCCTCTATCTGTGACAAATCTTCTGCAGACCCTGTTGCTTTTTCTTCAATGCGACTTTCTGTTTTAACCTTCTTGGAAGGAGGTTCGGCTGTTTCTTTCAAAGAGTCATTGGTTATTTCATCTCTATGCAGACCACTGGGACCATTAGCTTCCGAGCCTGTTACCTGGTTTTCACTGTCACCAATTTCCCGACTGTAAGACTCTGAAAGCAAAACAAAAATAAAAAAGTTAAAATTCCATATCTATTTAAAACAAATGGAAAAAACAAATTAAAATTTAATTATGGATTTAAGGAACAATAAAGGTTAAGATGGCATAATCACTAGGTGGCATATACAAAGAGAGAGATTAACCCTTCAAATGCATGTGCCAAGACAGGGACGATCACACCACATCTGACCCTACTGTGCGAGTCAATGAGGAATAATTTAAAGTACCGCTTAAGCATACACAGGGCTTACATTTGCTTCATCAGGCCTCCAGTAAACAGACACCATCTTGGAGAAAAAATTTTTGGCCACACCTGGGTGTGAAGGCCTGGGTATTGAGAGATAGACCATGGGCAGCACGTGCTGTAGCAGCTCACAGCACCGCCGTGCAGCGCGTGCCCACAGCATCACTTAATGATGACAAAATAAATAACGGCAATTATTTTACAATGATTGTCTCGGTGAAGATCCTAATTGTAATAAAGACTATGTATTGTACAAGGATCCGACATCAGTGAACACAATGCTAGTTACGATGTTCACAGAACGAGGCAGACATTCACAACGCACAGCCGCAATTTATGCATCTACGCCTCATGAAACAGGACCCCATGTTCCCATAAGAAAATAATCATGTAGAAAATGTTATATTCAGGATTTAGTAACCAGGATTATAATAATAATAATAATAATAATAATAAATAATAATAATAATAATAATAATAATAATAATAATAATAGCAGTGGTGTCAGCAGGGTATACATGGTACAATGTGAGTCATTTTGCTGGGTCAGGTGGCACTGACAGCAGAGTAGTGTGTGGTGCTATGCTGTTCTTGGATTTCAATACAATACCTGCCACAACTCCTTTAGTGGTTTGTTATGGTTCATATTCATACTGTATCAGTACTGCATACTCATTTGTATCATTTGTATCATACTGCTTGGATTTCAATACAACACCTAGCATAACTCCTTTAGTGGTTTGTTATGGTTCATAAAAAGTAGATAGTTACATATAACATGTGTACTGTATATAGTGTAATAACAGCAAAAACAGATTGTTCCATTGTTTAAAGAATATAATAATCAACTCATATTACTGACACGAATTGACACATACTGTTTGTATCTATATTCTACTCATCGCCTGCACATGTATAAAATGTATTTTTAAGTCAATTTTTTTGGGGGTGGAACGGATTAATTCAATTTACATTATTTCTTATGGAAAACTTAGTTTTGGTTTTCGAACTGTCTCTGGGAACGGATTAAATTTGAAAATGGAGGTACCACTGTATGCAGTTACAAACACATGCAAAAACATGCTTAATCGGAGGATGAACTCTGATCACTGGTTACAAGATTATTGCACCCACCACAACTGTTTTGTGGTTCATAATGGTGCATGAAAATGTAGATAGTTATATATAACATGTACATACAGTGTAATAACAGCACAAACAGTATGTTTTATTGTTCTAAGGAAATAATACTGTGTGAACATTAGTGACTTGAATATATTTGAGCATTCCGATGTTACACATTTTATTATATAAATTACCCAAATGACACCCTATTGAATAACATTACTGCAAAAAAAAAAAAAAAAAAAAAAAAAAAAAAAAAAAAAAAAAAAAAAAAAAAAAAAAAAAAAAAAAAAACAGAAAACACAAATCAGGTACATTTAAATAAATATCTAAAAATGTCTTTGTGGCAATTCCCGCCCCATGGCTGTGTGTGGCCAGGGTGACCACCACGGGGCTCTTGGTTCATGAATGCTTATGAATCATGCTGTCACAACATGAGATTTCTGTGCCTAACCACAGTCAAAGTAGGTCACACATCATTTTTTTTTCATTTTCCCCATGACCAGGGAACACATTTTAACAATATGAGCAAGAACATTGTCTTAATTAATTTTTCTTGTGCACCGGGAAGAGGATGTTAGCTATAAACACTGGTGCCTTGTGGGGGTTAAACTCTTTTAAAGACAATACCAATGCAATAAGATCGAGAGAGAATATAAACACAAAGAAAATGAGCACAAGCACAAAGGAATATTGCCACGGCAAATCAATATCACGAGACGGCTGTCAAAGAGAACAGTTGTGAAAAGTGACGTCATGTTGATACATCTGCTTGGTAATATTTAAAGGTAGAATACAAAAAAACAAAAAAACAAAAAATAATAAGCTCTGTGTGATTCCCACTGCACTGTGAATAACGGAATATAACATATTTCTTTCTTTAACTACATGCTCCTAAAGGAAACTCTCCTATTCTGGGAAAGAACATAATAACATATAATTATAATAATATATATATATATATATATATATATATATATATATATATATATATATATATATATATATATATATATATATATATATATATATATATATATATATATATATATACATATATACATATATGTACAGTATATTAATTTAATTTAAAATATTTGATTAAAAAAAATGATCAAGCACTACCAAGACTAACCACTAGCATTATTTGTTATGGAGTTTGCAGACTGCGTTATTGATAGCCTCTTGGGGTGATGTGACATTGGTGAAGTTGCCGAAGAGACGGAGAGGGGCGATGTGTGTAGTCCACCATCTTGCAAGCCATTGACTAGGGTCTGTTGAGAGTCCTCACTGCGCCGCCTAATGGTAGACAATGATTAAGGTAAATACTTTAATTAAACCAATTTTTAAAAACTTGCTTAAATATAACTACCTGTAGAGTTCCACTGGAGTACTGTACAGTACTCCATGGTAGACAACAATCATTGCAGCTGATCTGATTTTTTTATATATATATATTTGTAAACAGTGCTTGAGCTATGTTCAATTTTCACTGCAATGTATCACATGCAAATAGCATCTATGTCAACAGTCATAATATACAAATCCAATTTATTAGTTGATCTTAAAACTCTTAAGCCAAATTCAAGGGACATATTGTTTTCAGAAAAGAACCAATGGCATTTAACTTAATGAAGAGAAGACATGAATGCCAGAAAAAAATTGAAGAACTATAGGATGATGATATATGAATTGCAAAATAAAGAGTAAAATAGTGAGCAGTATTTAAAAGGTATTCAAAGTGGTATACCTATGATATGCTTATGTAAATGAAAAGGAAGATGGCAATAATTTGATTATAAGATCATATATGTATCTTTTTACTCTTTGCGTACTCCACTCACTAGGATTGAACATAAACAAAAAGCTTCTTACTACATAAGCAATAAAATAACAGTACAGTACTGTAAACAAATCCACAAGGGCCGTGATGAGAGTTCGATCCTACGTCCGGGATGATCCCAGACGCGTCTTAGTCGACTGCACCACACCAATTCCCCCCTTGTGAATTTGTTCATTTGATGCTTCACGCTACCGTGATTTCTGTGTGTAACAGTACTGTACTGTACTTTTATAATTTAAATTTTGCATATAAATTACAAATAAAGGTGGTGATACTCACTGCCGGCCAGGTTCAATATTAGATACCACCAGTACATTCTTTTCTAACCCTCGTAAAAACTTGTCTGTCCGCTTGTAGTGTCTAGTGGGGTCTACCATTATCTCACACAGCCTCTGTATGGTAAACGGTGCACTGAAATATATAGTGAATTACTCAAATAAAATAGTTTTAAACCTCTGAATTTACTAAATGTATTAAAAAATTATACATAATTTATATTTTTAAATTATTTCTGCTATTTCTCTCACATAACATTATCAGTTGTGTTTGAAAGCTTGAGATTTGTAAGTGTGGGTCGACTCGTGTAATCATGCTGTTAAACAACAATCTTAAGCTTATTTAAAAATAAGCTCATTATTTTTCAAAAGGTATACTCAGAAATATAAATAAATAAACCCCTCAGTATTACTTTGTATGTAACACAGGCATACTTTTTTTTTTTTTTACAAAAGTTACATAACTCCAAGTAACTTAACTGTGTAGGGAGAACAATTCACATATGTGATGTTAGGACTCCATACGGCTTTCTATGGAATTAAAGTTTAAAGTAACTTCCATCTGATGAGTCTAAAATGGCAAAGATAATGCTCCAGAAACAACCATTATTCTCCGTAACTTTTTTCCCTAAGCAACCACAAAAGCACACTTCTTTCCTCCTGTGATGAAGCTTCTGTAAATAACCAACAATTTTTTTGTTTACTAATAATGAAGTAAAACAACATTCATTTAAGACACATTTTTGGAATGTAAATACTGTACTGTACTTGATTAAGTACAGAACCCTCCCACACCCCACCATCCCCCATGTACATATTTCAAGGAAATCTTAATGATGCAGTATAACATATGGTTCAGGACAGAGCTAATACACCACACACTGGAAAACAACTGAAACCGGCACTGGAGAAATCCTGACAAATATTAACAAAGTCCTGAAACAATCAGCTCACAAAGATCCTGTGAATGCGAGTTTTCACACTCACTTAAATCTGAAAATTGATGTGCTAAAAAAAAAAAAAAAGTCAACCAGCTAACATTTGCCTGTTATATGGCAGAACATTACAGTACTCAAGCAAACTTGAATTGCTCCATCCCACTGGAGATGTACAAGCATGTACTATATGTGTACACAAAAAAATGGCCAAAAAACTTAAAACTCTCACTGTAATAATTGCATATACAGTATCAGCATCCACATTGGATTAATTCTGTGGTTTTGGAGTTGTAAATAGCCTTTCATTCTTGTCTGCTGCAAGCCCAAAACAGCTGTTCCTATGTTCAATCATGAACTATTCTCTGAACAAAGTTAAATTACACCAATCCAGAATGCCTGTGTTTTAACATTTGTATCAAGCGGTTTTGAGCCAATACAAGGCATTTATAACCTATCACTGGGAAACCGTAAACAGTTGCCAACGGCAACACTCAATAAAAATATTATTCCACATATTATTTTCTAAGGCATATCCATACATTATATAATTACGGTACAATTGAGTCAATGGCTAGTGGATGGAAGATGCACTACATAGGCACACACAAAGGTATCTCACGATGCCACAAATAAACTAACATTTAAATTGGAACACAGGCATACTTGTGGAGCGTGTTACTTACCCAGAGAAACTATCAAAGTGGTGTAATAACTTATCGCGTGTCGTCGTGTACGAGAAGGCCGGCACGTTGCCACACTCGCTTATGTCCTCCCCACCACAATTTTCATAAAACTCATTCATCACCTACACATGAAAGAAAATATATTAACTACAGTATATAGAATGCAATTTGTTGTTGTCATAAATATAAAAAAAAATTAACTAAACATATTCTGACCAAAATAAAGGTGATTGGCAGAATCATGAAAGCAGCCTTATGTACATGTCATAGGCATGCCCTCCTGAACACCCACTTTGTAGTCTTAACAAAATGTAATAATAAAGCACTGGCAATAATATGATTTGAACTGAAAACTTCAGCAAGCAGAAACTTCAACATGTATAAATATTATATTTGATATATTGTCTATGAATATACTGTTGTCATCATTATCAATCTAATCATACATCAATGGAAGTCTTAGAACACATATACAGTAGTAGAAATTAAGTGTTAAATGTAATGAAACGATTCTTCGCGGTGGGGATCGTATTCCAAGGACCTGCCCGAAACGCTACGCGTACTAGTAGCTGTACAAGAATGGAACAACTCTTGTATATCTCAAAAAAAAAAAATCCTTTTTTTTTGGTTGGGCCCTCAATAGCTCCCCAAGGCCAACTCTGGTCCAGCCAAGCCTCTGGGAGATGTATTAGGCCTCGAGACCCACCCTTGTCTACCAGGATTCAGGACAAGAATACAGCTCTCTCTTTGAGGTGAGGGGGGTGGGATCCTCACCCCCCTCACACAGAGGTTACAGAGCTTGGGGATGGGGGGTCAGAGATTAACCCAAAATCAAGAAAACACCACTAAAAAGCATAAGTGCAACAAAACTACCATTGCTTGGAGTTAGGTACCTTCAGGTTACAAGACAAACTATGCAGGCAATGAGTCACAATAATGTGGCTAAAGTATGCTGACCAGACCACACACTAGAAGGTGAAGGGACGATGACATTTCGGTCCGTCCTGGACCATTCTCAAGTCGATTCACAATCGACTTGAGAATGGTCCAGGACGGACCGAAACGTCGTCGTCCCTTCACCTTCTAGTGTGTGGTCTGGTCAACAAGGCAAACTATCTTTCTCACAACATAAACACCCTAGCCATGATGCATTTAACTGCCAACAGGTGATAGCAGTGAAAGGGGGACAGGAAGCATTTGAGGGCCCACCAGAAAAGGGCATTTCATAACATACTGTACACTGCTTGATTTCTTGGAGAGCCTCCTCAGTAGCTATCAACAAAATAATGCAGCCAAGGCTTATCTGTGAGAGAAGATGGGAGAAGAAGATGGCTTGAGCCAGAGGTTCATCTAGTGCTTCAAACACCAAAGTGCAGCACATGCATGGCAAGGTTGAGGAAACTGCCAAGGCAGTGCCAAGGTAAATGCCCAGGTGAACCACCCATATCAAGCTTCATGCTTGATTTGGGTGGTTCACCTAGTGCTAGTACTAGCAGTCAAGCAGCTACGAAACATAGAGCAAGGGAGCCAAAAGTTAGTAAACACCAAATGGCCCAGAGGGAACCAACAGACAAGAGCTTCCGGCACAGGGATCCTAAACCTAAGACCCAGAGCACTGGCAACCAGCCATTGGCACAGAGGACCCCAAAATAACCTCAGGCACCAGATTATAGGCAGAGATTTTCAAGTTACCGAGACAGCCTAAAGTACCAGTTGGCCCAGGTACAGTATTCAAGGTTGCACTGTATTATAATTATGGGTAAAATTAATGATGATGACAGGGGATGCATTTTTGTGATCCAGAAATATGAAAATCACTTTCGTAAAGCAGGTCTAGCAAATGTGTGTAAGATTCATGACACTTTTGAGTAATTAAAGTTATAAATGAATAAATATAAAACATAAAGTTAGTTTTCACTGAGCATGACAGTACTTACGGTTTCTAGCATGTATCGCATAAAATTTCGTATTCGGTGCCATGGAAACACTGTGTCTCCTGTTTTGGCAACATGCTGAACATACTCCTCCAAGAGCTTTGGTACACCTCCACTCTTCTTTTCAAACTCTGCAGGAGCAATGAGAACAGTAAATATCACTTAATAATAGTTAGTTTAACACAGATTTACATGTCTTGAGATGATCAAACCTTTCATAAGCTTGCCAAGCCATAGAATGAATTAGAATTTAATCAGCTATAATCCCCAATTTAATGAAAACCCTATGCTTAATTTAAATGTATTGTTATAGTCAAAAGACTTTGAACTGAAAATCTCCATCTAAAGGACAAAATTTATTACACTAAATTATCCATCAAGATCTGAAATTATACTCCCTTTATAAATTCAGCTTATTCTCACACCATTAATATACAGTACTGTACTTGCTTCACCATTTGCTGTCCTTGAAAATAAAGTCCAGCACTTAATTTTAAGTACGGTATTAATTTTGTCATACAATGCTGTATTGTACCCTATTTAGAAATCTGCCCTTGTGTGAATAAATCTCTAAAATTGAAAGGTCAATGACAGAAGAGTTTTTATATGTAATATTTTATAAAAAATTTATTTCACTTTTGTTCATGTGAATTATTATTTTTCTATTTCATATATTTCAAGGACAGTACTATTTTTGAAGTTCCCAAGCATTTTAGTACAAAGTGTATTGATATTTATAATGTGAAATAGCTATTGACTATGAATACCAAATAAAACTATTATGCAGGCGAGGAGTCACAATAATGTGGCTGAAAAAATGTTGACCAAACCATACTTGGAAAGTGAAGGGACGACGACGTTTCGATCTGTCCTGGACCATTCTCAAGTCGATTGTGTCGGACCATTCTTACAATCGACTTGAGAATGGTCCAGGACGGACCAAAACGTCGTTGTCTTTTCACTTTCTAGTGTGTGGTTTGGTCAACAAAACTATTATTTTTAAGTATAGTACACTTATGATTTCAACCTGATGTAAGCCCTGAAAATATGATTGAGCTTTTTTATTTATGGCAAAAATAAATTAAAAACAAATTCTTGCCCCCTTGGAAGTATTGTACAGTACTATAATACAGATCTGTAATTTAGAATTAATATTAAATGACCTACATATTTTCCCCATTAATACTTTTTACACAAAAAACTGCAAATATTTGTCCCAATATGATTGCAGAGCAAAATATGCAAAATAAATAAGTACTACTGTATACTGAACAGTAATTTGAAAGTAAAATTATATATCATCACCCTTTTCCCACTCTTGTGAAATGGAAAGCATTAGCCCAGAAAACAAAAGGAAAGCAGTAATGTACAAGAAGCAAACTTAAATATATTACAAAATTGAACTCATCCTTTCACTATACCTTACCCACTGTACAGCATCACAGAAAAACAAACACCACCACCTCTCTTGCAAGTCACCCACTGAAGTGCCATAAAAATTTCAGAAAACTTGGTGTACAGTGCTCCTTGTGAGTTGTTATACAACAGAGATTAAACACTTACATATTCCTTCAAAGCTGCTGCACCTAATCTTAGCCTTGTTGCCCCACCACATCGCATATGCTGTTAACACTCGACCTCCGCTTCCCCCCTCACACTAGCCTTGCCTGCCAAGCTTTCCTCCTCTTCTCCTACCCTCAAAATCATGTGACTACACTCTCTTTAAGAGTCCACTGCCATCTATGCATTCAATGATACCAACCCTGCTCAGAATATTCACCTCAATCTGGGGATCTATCAACTTTCCCTATCCTCAGGCTCAACATGATCCTATCAGGCATAATATAACCCTATCCTTGGGTCAAAAATGACCATGTATGCAAGCACAACATGACCCAATCCACTAGCCCAACATGACCCCTATCCACAGGCCCAACATCACCCTATTATCAGGCACGACATGACCACAACCCCGAATCCAGCACAACCCTATTCTCAGATCCATCATGACCCCATTCTTCAACCCCAACATGACCCTATCCTCAGGCCCAACATGACTGTATCCTCGGATTCATTATGACCATATCCACAATCAGGCTCAACTTGACCCTTTCCACAGGCCCAACATAACCCAATCCATAAATTCAACACGACCCTATCCTCAAATACAACATTACCTTATCCACACCTATTTATGCCTTGCATAAATAGTGAAACAGCCTCACTGACTTACAGCATCTCTAATGAGCCAGCAAACCCGAACATGAGCCCTAAAAGCTTAAATAACCAGCTTCGCAGTGAGGCATTTTAGACGACCAGTAAGATCCTGGTATCTTAGAAACTCAATAATACAGGTCAGAAGATCTTAAGACGACGGGGAAGGCCACGTCGCCCCGACAGGTGTGGCAGATGTGGGGAACTTGCTTCATTTACACCCCCGCTCGCACCCACATACGAGGCTGCAAACCCGGAGAACCATCACTCTCCTCGCCCTCATAACGCAGCCCCTGCAGGAGGCGAGGGGAGAGCCGGGTTGTGAGGGTAAGGAAAGTGTAGGGGCGAGGGGAGAGGCGGGTTGTGAGGGTAAGGAAAGTGTAAGGGGGAGGGAATCAGCTGGGAGCAAGAGAAGTGTGTACCCGGCCGACCTCGTCTCTTCTCTGCTCTTCTCCCCTTTATTTACCTCCCCCGCCACTCAAAATTCAGTGCCTAGCACACAGCACGGCCAATACTTGCTTTCTAGTTCCTCTAATATGGATTCCAGGTTTTCCATAATTGTTAAAAGGCCTTTATGAGAGGCAAGGCGCGCCGACTTCGCTTGTCTTCCACTAAACTTGAAAACAAACAACATGGCGGCCGCTTATGGTCAGTTCTAATGGTAATTATCGCGCTAAACCAAGCTTGGTGTCCCAGGTCCGAGAGGATATTTAATGCTGTTAATAAAATCTCGCATGAAAATGGCAATAAATGACAATGAAATAAATATTTTATGAATATACCCCCAACTTAAGAGACCGCAAAGCTAAAGCTTTCTCCTTTATGCTCATGTTTATAGTTTATTGCAAATCGCGAACGCGGACGAAAACATTAAATTAGGAAATAAAAAAGTTTGCATAATTAAAACACGATAACGCTAGGAATACAAAAGCCTCAGTATTAACAACTGGAGGACAAAGGCATAATTTACACGAGGAGTAAGATTTAGGTTTTTGTAAATAATCCGGATGGCGGCAGCTGGCGTACAGGAACATAAATACTCTGACGTCACACCTCGTAATGACAGCTCTCCATACAACACTCGTTAATAGAATACATAAATACAAACAAGAAAGGAATATACAGTTGTGTTTTTCTAGATTTATAAGATCATTTGCAATCAATACTAATATTGCTATATGTTCTATTGCATGTAGTCTGCTTGTGTAAAGTTGTTTAAATAAATATGTTTTGAGTTATAATATGCGGAGTGTACACACGCACACGAACAAGCATGCGCGCCCTGTAATTTTGTAACTAGCTAATCAAGACTGTAACTTGCTTAGCTAAATATATTTTCGGGTTTCCATTACGTGCCTCTGCAACCCGCCCACAGTATGTATATTGGGTGAATAATAAATGACCTAAACTAACTCGTCCCCGTTAAAATACCATATTATTATCAATATCTTTATTGACAAAATATTATACCAGTCCCCGCGGTGAAGTGGTAAAACACTTGCCTTGCGTTTCGCGAGCCCTTTGTCCTGGGTTCGTATCCTGGCCGGGGAGGATTGACTGGGCGCCAATCCTTAACTGTAGCCTCTATTTACCCAACAGTAAAATGGGTACCTGGTTGTTAAACTATTTGGCGGGTCGTATTCATAGGAACATAGGATTATAAGGACTTGCCAGAAACGCTAAGCGTGCTGGTGGCTGTACAAGAATATAAGAACTCTTGTATAAATAAATAAATACAACTAAAACTGCGTAGCTAATTGTTTGGTGTTGGGCCTCAGGCCTAAAATCGCAGGAGGGCTATTATTATGGCCACTATAATAGCCTGCTGGTCAACCAGCAGTTATATACTTCATGTTGACCAGACCACATACTAGAAGGTGAAAGGACGACGACGGTTCAATCGACTTGAGAATGGTCCAGGACGGACCGAAACGTCGTCGTCCCTTCACCTTCTAGTGTGTGGTCTGGTCAACATACTTTAGCCACGTTATTGTGACTCATCGCCTGCTTATATACTTTAATCCTGACAATATAAATAGGGACAACAAAGCTAGTAGAAGTACAACACACATACATACTCACACATATAATAATAATTCAATGTGTCAGGGGACAGGAAGCCAGAGTGTACTCATACACGTTAGACTTGTATCATACCTGGAGCATACCTGGAGAGGATTTCGGGAGTTCTGCTTCCCGAGCCTGGCTTGAGGCCAGGCTCGACTTGTGATAACTTGGTCCAACAAGCTGTTACTTGGAGCGGTCCGCAGACGCACAAATCCACTATAGTCTGGTTAGTCCGGCACTTCTTGCAAGAACCTGTCCAAGTGCCTCTTGAATACACCCATCTTCGTTCCGGCAATATTTCTAATGATGGCTGATTGGGTATTGAGGAGCCGTGGACCCATGATGTTAAGACATAAAACATGTCGAGGTCATCCTCCCCCCCAACCAAAAAAAAAAAGTCGAACTACTGACCCTCCCTAGGATCTAACCCCACAAGAGTTGACTATCTCTCGGGTACCTATTTACTGCTTAGGTGAACAGAGGAATTAGGTGATAGAAGACTTGCCCAACCATTTTTGACCCGCCCGGGAATCCCGATTGCGTCGAGAACGAAGCCTAATAAATTTCTGAAAACAACGGAACTCTTGAATGTAATTAGCGTCACAATCTATACCATAAGAGACAACAAGGGTACATGTTCACACTGTGGAAGATTACTTCTTTCCATATTATAACCACTCTACCCACTTAGGAAACACATTAAAGATTTGACCAATCTTCGTTTTGAGGTATAAGCTTAATATCTTAAACCGTAAGCCAGAGCACTTAAGCCTCTCTCAAGCCGTATACAATAATGTAGGCGACGAGTCACAACAACAGTGTGTTGACTTCACACACTAGAAGGTGAAGGGACGACGACGTTTCGGCCCGTCCTGGACTATTCTCAAGCCGTATACACTTTTTTTTTTGAGATATATACAAGTATGTATATACATACCCTGGAATACGATACCCGCCGCGAAGAATTGTTTTTACAACCAAGTACTCATTTTACTGTTGTGTTAAACAGAGGCTACAGTTAAGGATATGCGCCCAGTAAATCCTCCCCGGCCAGGATACGAACCCATGACAAAGCGCTCGCGGAACGCCAAGAGTGTCTTACCACTACACCATGGTGTGATTCCCTGTACCTCACAAGGGAACTCTCCTGCAACTCTCTACACAAACACGCCGTCTATACACTGAATTTTGCACTCAAATGTGTCCATGTTCCAAAACTTGACACACTAATTGCGCACGAGTCTTTTATCATCCATAATTGCGCTAGACTTTTTGTTTTTAAGATCCAGCCCAACGGCTGTCAACACCACCCGCCGAAGCCGTAAATACTAAAAATTTTAACTTTTTAAAGTACAGCTGGGAAAAGATCATCAAGGCATATGGGGGGGGGGTATCTCCGACAAAACGCGCCGGCTTCCTGTCCTCGTCGAGGACAGGGTGTTAATGGCTCTCAGGTAAACACGCAATGAAAGACATTTGAAAATCGGGCATTTATTTATGATATTCACTTAATACTACACTTACATCACTACTCCTAAGATGTTCATATATAAAATATGAAAATGAAGGTCTGGGAAAAAAAGTTATAGGAAGGAGGTGGAAGCGAGGTGTGGAGGGGAGTGGGGGGATGAGAGAGGGGGGTGGGGGGGAAGATTGGTATATATATATATATATATACTTCACCAGTACCCCCCAACATCCTCTAACGGGTTATTCATGCCCGTGCCACCTCTTGGATGGCTTAATCTTTATCAATCAACATACTCTCTCTCACTGTGAGGTGTGATCTCTCACTCTCCCTCTCCTTAGTGTTCTCTAACCACCACCTCATTGTCAACCGGGTCATGAAAGGACCAACATCAATTTTCTGTGATTGAAGTGGCACTTTTTATGTTATATAGTTGTGATACAACTGGTGTACATTGAGCTGGGATGTATGACCATTCACCACGTATGACCAAAGGGCCTCGTAGCCTGGTGGATAGCGCGCAGGATTCGTAATTCTGTGGCGCGGGTTCGATTCCCGCACGAGGCAGAAACAAATGGGCAAAGTTTCTTTCACCCTAAATGCCCCTGTTACCTAGCAGTAAATAGGTACCTGGGAGTTAGTCAGCTGTCACGGGCTGCTTCCTGGGGGTGGAGGCCTGGTCGAGGACCGGGCCGCGGGGACACTAAAAAGCCCCGAAATCATCTCAAGATAACTCAAGAAGATAACCACCCTGTGAGCCAGCCCCCCCCGGACATTGTATGGCCAGACACTCACACCACTACTGGTGGTGGTGGTGGTGGTGGGTTCTGGTGCCTCAAGGCCTCACACCAACGCTCTCAACAGTGTTACGGGCTCACCATAGCCCGTGCTACTTGGACACTTCGTCCTGAGTAGCTAAATCTTTAACAACAACAACAGCTCTCAACACCAACTAATGGTCAAAGATAAAGGCTCGTGTGTGAAAGCAAAATCTCCAAGATGATTTATGTTGATTTGTCAATAAAACTATTTTCTCTCTTTCTGACATTTATATATATATATATATATATATATATATATATATATATATATATATATATATATATATATATATATATATATATATATGTCGTACCTAGTAGCCAGAACGCACTTCTCAGCCTACTATTCAAGGCCCGATTTGCCTAATAAGCCAAGTTTTCATGAATTAATTGTTTTTCGACTACCTAACCTACCTAACCTAACCTTACCTAACTTTTTTGGCTACCTAACCTAACCTAACCTATAAAGATAGGTTAGGTTAGGTTAGGTAGGGTTGGTTAGGTTCGGTCATATATCTACGTTAATTTTAACTCCAATAAAAAAAAATTGACCTCATACATAATGAAATGGGTAGCTTTATCATTTCATAAGTAAAAAATTTGAGAAAATATATTAATTCAGGAAAACTTGACTTATTAGGCAAATCGGGCCTTGAATAGTAGGCCGAGAAGTGCGTTCTGGCTACTAGGTACGACATATATATATATATATATATATATATATATATATATATATATATATATATATATATATATATATATATATATATATATATATATATATAGTACTTTCGTATATTAATACATCATCAGAAGGAATGATTCCTTCTGAATATGTATTAATATACGGAAGTACTTAAGGAAATTCTTGTTTCAATTCTTCCTCCGTAGTCTGACACTGTCACATTTTTATATCACGTGTTAATTTTCATGATTTACACACACACATATGTCCCTTTGGACCTTCTGAATGTATTAATATATACTTAAGGAAATTTCCTGTTTCATTTTTCCTCCGTGGTCTGACATTGTCACATTCTTATCATATATATACACACACACACATATATATATATATATATATATATATATATATATATATATATATATATATATATATATATATATATATATATATTATATATATACGTGTATGTGTGTGTTAAAAAAGTTCTTTCTAATATGTGTGTGTGTGTGTGTGTGTGTGTGTGTGTGTGTGTGTGTGTGTGTGTGTGTGTGTGTGTGTGTGTGAACACTAGGAAAACGAAACTAAAATTCCCAACGTCTTCGTGTTTCACATTATCAAGCT